GGTGGGTGGGTGGCGGGCGGGGGGTGTGCCTGCGCCCAGGCGATGAACTTGGTTTCTCAGTTACAGTTCCCATCAGGCGTTCGGGGCGGCTGGTCCCTTCCCTCCTCTAACAGCCCTCGGGGGCACTGGGGAGCTGGGAACGGAGAGGCTCGTCCCTCTTTGGCCGCTGCCTTTGGAGCCCCTTCCAGGGGCAGGACGTGATGAAGACTTCACTGTACTTGGTTTTTCTTTGTCTGGCAATAATTGTCCCTTAGTTGAGATTTCACATTGGAGATTGACCTTTGCGACCCGTGCATCTCCCTGTGGCAGCTCAGATAGGAGGAGGGTTCCCTTGGATGCACCAGAAAGTTGTTTGTGAAAATCTGATGCAAAAGCACAGTGTAGCCGTCAACTTCTGTTGTACAAAAAAAGATTTCTGTGCAAGTGTTAGGGTTTGAAAAAAATATTTCATGCCCTACTAAATACATGATGTGGTTCTGGGATTGGTGCTGTCACCGCTCGTACTTAATTGCTGCAGACGGTGACAGTGTTTGAGAAAGTATTGGAGTTTTCCGGGGTGTCGCAAGTCCTTAATAATGCGGGGTCTTTCGAACCTTGGCCCGTCTATCAAAGTTATATGTTCAATAAATACTGTACTGCAAATAGGTCAAGTGGCAAATGAGTGTTAAGAGGTTTTCTGAGTGTCGGTGTCGGGGGGGAGAAATTTCTCTTGCCCATGCTTCAAATCTGTCAGAGAAGGGAAGTACAGAGCTGTGCAGGTTGTGATCAGGAGTAAGTTAAGGTCTAAATGCATCGTGGTGTGTTAACTGTAGTGTGAATATTAGATGAAAAGGGCAATAAGTAAATACTGGATTAAAAAGTCTTAACACACATAGTATCGAATCACATTTTTTTCTGAATGTTTTTGTCCCTTTTCAAGGTTATATGGTAGAAAAAGATAAAGATTTAATTTAAGCTTTTGCTGAGTATTATAGACTTGTGAAACATGTCTGCAGGTTGAAAAGTGTGTTTCAGAATTTTAATATTCGGGAAAACTGAAGTTGAAGCAGCAGTGCAATGTCTTTAAATTAAACTACGTCCTTGTGAATGTAAATTAATGTTTTCATACCTTTCTAAGTTGTAATGTCTTTTTTTTTTGAGACTAAAAAACCCGGGAAATGGCTTTAAAAGTTGTGAATACTCTGTATTTTCACTTTCTAGCAAAGTGCATGTTTCTTAGTTTCTTTCTTTTAGCTTATCTTGATTTGAAAAATACAGATTTTTATTATGATAATTTGCATCAAGCAGAATTTTACTGTTTTTCATCAGGCTTCTAAAAGGAAATACTGGGATCACTTTAAGATTTACTTCTCTAATAATAATACATCTCTCTAATAATACACTCTTTGGGGTCTTACGTTCATACATGTAGGAATAAGGCAGGATCATACCTTTAAAAGGCGATAAAGGATATAAAATGCTGTCCTTTTTCACACCTAATGGCAGAATTCCATAAATACAAGTTTTCCAGCTATCTGAAGTAAATGTTTTGCAGTCATATGAAAATAAAGTTTTATATTTCTTAAAAAATAAGTTGTTTGTTTTCTTTATGTGGGAAATGGAGGCAGTATTAGCCTTAGAATGGACATCAAGGCATTCTCCATTCTCTATTTTTTCTTTCCATTTAATGTGTTTTATCAAGTAATTTCAAAGTCTCTTGTTGATGTTACCTAATGGAGCTGGATTTTATTTCAGTTTAAAAAGGGTGTATTTCAGTTTAGATTGGAATTATTATTAGGTACAACCTCGTGCAGACAAAAACCTTTTTTGTCCTGATTTAACTGAATCAGTTAAAACTAAATTGAAGGTCCTCTTTTCCATAGGAAAGTCTTCATCTTTTGAACTTTGGCTGTTATACCTATTTGAAATGATGCTACCCTTTCATGTCAGTATTGCTTGTGGCTGTGCTATCCTCCCTCAGTTTGCACTTTGAAACGGTAGTTGTTTAACAGAATCAACATTTTTCTGATCCTATGAATATGAAAGATTTTGGAAATGAATTTCCTAGGTTGGAATGATCTGTAATGTGTCATAGTCAACTGACAATCCCTATTCTTGTTTTGGTACCTTGTGTGAGTGACCATGGTACTTTCCAGAAGGATAAAACAATCAGATGGCGAATTGTCTGACTATGTAAATTTAGTATACTCTTTGGTATTGTATCAGATTCATTCATTAACTTTGTGAAGAAAACTTACATATTTGACAATAAGTTGAGATTTTTTTTTTCTGTCCTTTTATGATCTAAAGCCTATAAGAAACACGTGTTGTGGAAAAGTCATGGTTGTGAGGCTTGTGACTACTGATTGACAGTAGCTTAAACAAGAATTTGCTTTGTGTTATACAGTAGGTGAAGTAACCTTTGACATGTTAACTTGGAATTATTTAGACATTGTGATGCTTCACTTAAATAATTACTTTTGTGATAATTGTTTTTAAAACCCAGTCTAATTTAGATACTTTTTTTTTATCGTTATAAGACTGTCTTTCTGAAGGTATGAGGTATGTTGGATAACATATGTTTCTTTTTCTTAGAACCAACACAGATATACAGATTTCTACGTACCCGGAATCTAATAGCAGTGAGTAATTGGTCTTTATCACTCCTTTACTTTGGACTTGTAGGAAATTTTAATTAAAGCATAACCTTTTTTTTTTTTCCCCTGCAGCCAATATTTTTGCACAGAACTCTCACTTACATGTCCCACAGAAACTCCCGAACAAATATCAAAAGGTAAAATTGTTTTTGAAAAGTAATCCTAAAATGTTAAGCAAATAGCAGAAGTCAAAAAAATAGCGTAGGGTGACCTCCTCTTTTCACGTGGTGTGTAAAACATGACCTTTTCTTTTTGAAGAACTTAAAAAAAGCATACATCACTTTACAGTTTATTTCTGGGACCTAAGAACTTTTCTGCAGTGTTAAGGGGGTGTGTGACTTCGTGCTTGTGACTTCTGTTGATATTGGGAGTACTCCAATGTGGATAACTATCTGCAGAATCTAGTTCTCCTGTGCTTGTTTTCTGTTTTGGGGGAGAACTCAAGCACAAAACTGTACAACATCTGAACTCTTGTAATCAATTATGGTTGATCACAATTGTATGAAACATTTTATTTTAAATTGTAACCTAACTGCTTATTTAAAAACAAACAAACAAACACAAGACTGTTGGTTTTGTTAATTAGTCTTGGAAAGATCCAGTATTTATTTCTGTAATTATTTTAAAAGATGAAAAATCAAGGAGGTCAGTTTATAACATTTCACACAAAATGTAGCAAACGCTTCAAAAAGGCTGCTTTGAACTGGAAACATGTGAGAAATGGGCTTCAGTTTTGACATTTCAAAATAGTAATTCCTTTTGTGTGAGGTGCTACAGCTGCATGTCAATAGACTCAAAATATATAAATACTTCAGAGTGAAAAGTGCCGGGTTTGTTATTTATTAGCAGAATCACAAAGTACTTTCAGTTACTTCCCCCTCACTGAAAATAATGTGTTATACTTTGGATCTTTTTGTAGCCTGAACACTTCTTTTAAAATATTTTAACACTGAAGTTCTTATTGCTTGGAAACAGTTGCTGTGGGACTGAAATACTTAATCATGAATGCCTAAGGAATAGCAAAAAAATCTGATTATGCAGACAATTCTAATTTAAACTATATTTGTATCTAAGGAAGGTAATACTTGAATGATTTGTTGAGCAATGGAATGTTTTTATTTAAATTAAAGAGACTGTATTTGGCATTCTCAAATCTCTTGGATATTGTTTAATGTTCTTGCCATTAGCCTTAATGCTACAATATAACTTTACCTTAAAAGCTCAATCCATAACATACAACTTCAGGTACTTAGGACAGGTAATGATCAGATTATTTCTTTAAACTTGAAGTTGCTGCTTACTTTTTCTTATAAAAGTTACCAAATTTAATTGTTTGCTTATTTTAAAATAGGGCAGAGCCAAAAGAAATAATTTTCAGGGTGCTTTGGTTTGGTTTTGTTTTTAAACTAAAATTGTGCAACAGAAAGCTCTTGCTTATAACTTATATTAGCTTATATTTGATTGAATGCATGTGTTTTTACCCTTTCTTGGGTATCTGCTGTAGTTGCTGGGAAACAAGAAATGGTTGGTGTTGTCCACTGTTTAAATTTCAGCTCAAATTCAGCTGCACAAGTAATGCTTAGTTTCTCTTTGGAACATATGGATTTTTACTAGTTCCCTTAACACTTTGTTTTAGAACTGTTATTTCAGTTTGGTAGTGGTCTTGTAACAGACAGATTAACAGCCATTTCACTCACTAGTGCTCTGACAATACTGACTTACTGAAATAATTCTCATAATTAGGTCTAGGAAGTAAAATATTTCAGTATGTTTTTTTTTAAAATAAAAATACAATAATGCAACAGAAGTAAACTTGCATAGTTGAGAGGAAAAAAAACCCAACAAAAAACCCAGAAAATAGTTGCAAAGAAGTGTGTTTTCCCTTGGGTCCTCCTCCTGCTTTTCCATGCCCTGTCAGTACTGTGGTCCTTCTTTTTCAGCCTAGTTAAAACCACAGAAGTTATCGTTTGAAGGTAGTTTGGACTACTTAGATGTACTGACAAAACTGAGAGATTATGGCAAAACAGTCTCAGCTGAACTTCCAGAGAAGGTTAGCAGGGTAGTTGTTTGATGTTCTGTGCTAGTAAACAGTGTATAAGACCTTAACTGCCATTATTTATTCAATAGAAACAGTTAAGGTGTATGATCCTCTTACTCTGGTGAAAAAGGGGCTTTAAAAGAGGAAACATATCCTAACTAGAGTAGAAGATCTTCCCGAGGAAGGAAAAATTGTATGTACCTAGGTTCAGTATAGTAGAGTTCACTTTGCAAAGAAGTATCTTTTGGAACTGCATTACTGTTAGCATGGTTATGTGGATCATGACTATACATGTATACTTATTCATTTATTCTGCTAGAACTTCTTAATTCTACCATTTTAAAATTGCTGATCATTGTTTTGATTGCCATTTCAGTAAACAGCATCATAGGTAAAATATACAGAAGTTATCTCCAAACTTCATAGAACTTACCTATTGCAATAGTATATCTTTTGTCTTTAGCTCTGTGGTAGTCTGAGAAAAATGCTAGACAAATTTATCACTTGGAGGCAGGGAGGTAAAACTGCATTTTTACCAAGAAATTATCCATTGGTGATGGTCCATAGGTTTAACACTGATAAAGTGTCTATAAAGATTAGAATGCTTAGGGTGTAGAGAAATGTTGATAGGGAATAAGTTACTGGGCATGTGTCAACTTGGGCTAAAAAAGTATTGAAAGTGCTGCTTATCCTTGGAGAGGTGATAGGCTTTGGTCAAGTGATACTTGATGGAGAATGGAAATGGGCTTTCTGCCTGTGGGTCTGTCTTCAGGTGTTACCGTATTATTAGACCAAATGATGGCATTGGAAAGAAGTTACAAACTGTTAATAAAAGTTGCTTCCCATGCAGTATTTTTGGATAAAGGAATATTTTTTTTTTAATTTATTGGCAGAGTAATGGCATGCTATGATGTGACTTTTAATACTTAGTTAATTATTACTGTGCTTGACTGGGATAAGAGTGGGTGGAGAAAGGAATGCACAAGATGTGTGTACTTGTAGCACAAGTAAATGCTGTCTTGAAAATCCTGGATGTTAAGGATGGTTATTACAAAAACTTAATTTTGTCTGTTATGCCTGAGAACATAATAACATAAAAATAGTAATTCAGTTTGAAGTAATTTCTGTATTTTCTTATGTTTTTGCAAGTTAACTTCAAAGGCAACAAATCTGGTTTTATAGGTTTTTTGGTTGCTATTTTTATTTTTTCTGAAAGAGATTTTAGGAGGACTCTTGTTTTGGCTAACCTGAGTTTGAAGTTAGGAAGCGTTGTGTTATGGTTCGATTTGGATCAATAATGCTCAAAAATACTAAATGTAAGCTGTGTCATTGTTCTTTTCAGATCAATAACGCCCACAAATATTAAATGCAAGCTGTGTCAATGTATTTTATGAAAGATTGTTAAACTTTCCCCCGTTCCTGAAACATGTTTGTCTCTTAGCTGGTTTCTGGCTCATATTCCAATCATGACATAACTTTGCTGTAGAGCTGTTTTAAGCAACTCTTTAGTCTGAAGAAAACCTTCTAAAGATAAGTGTACTACTTGCTGTTCTGCAGAACAGTGGCTGATTTTGATGAGCTTGGGGAAACTGCATGCAAAGACTTTTACTTTGGGATCTGAAACTTTCAACAGATTCCTCTGTTCTTAACATCTCTTGCTTTAAAGCTGAGCACTACAGTGTTCATTTTGATAATGCCACGTTTTAGTGTAGGTGAGTCAGTTCTTGAATCTGTCATCTGTGTGAACCTTAGGCTGAATAGAGCTTTGAATCACTGATTGCTTATTACACAAATCATAATTATTTTTCTTGTTATGTGACTGCAGCCCTGTGCTTACGTAGTGTTCCGTGTCCAGTGTTAGTGTTTAGCCACCATGTGATTTGTAACTAAATCATTCAGATGCATTACATGCTGAATGTAGACAAGGTATGACATTAGTGTTTCTTCAGCCAGGATATTTCTGTAGATGATGCTTCTCACTTCTCCAGAACATGTCATCATTGTTCCCCCCACGAGAAATTCAGTATTTGGCAACAGCTTATGTTCTTATTTCATTTTTCTAAGGTATTAATGTAAGGATGCCTTCACAGCTCTTGAATTGTCACTCTAGTCCAGTGTAATTTTGTTGACATCTAGGTAGAAGCATTAATTTTCCTTTAAAGGAAAATTAAAAGACTATTCTGGAAACTATTGAATAACTTCTGTTCATCAGTGAACTTTATTTAGCAATGCACATTAAATTGTATGTATGGTAGAACAGGCTGAACATATGAGCATGAACAGACTGATGTCAGAATTATGGAGAGAAATGATTTGAAGTGATTATACTCTATGACATTGTTGTCCTTGGTTGTCATCATCCCCCCTGTTTCCTCTGAGTGTGCTCTAGAAGTAGCTTCAGAATTTGTTGCTCTTTGTATTGTGTCCATTTAATATAACTTTGTGGAGAAAGAAGGGGTTTTTTATAATTAGGCTTTTAACTGTTTTGTCAGAAGGTTTCAAGTGTTCTACGTGATTATGATCAAGGTTAAAATAGCTATGACTGAAGAGCTGATGCGTGAATTCCTAGTAGGTACAAGTGTCACTAAAGTGGGAAGATTTTTTTGACCGAAGCTGAAATGTGGTTAGACGTACTCATTGCAAGGTTTGAATATGTGCTGTTAAATGACACTTCTTACGAGCGGCAGGATTATTTCTGAAGGGTCTGGTTTTAATTTTTTGAATTATTTTGATACTGCCTGGGAAGCTATATTGCAGTTGAGTCCCTAAAAAGAGCACTTTCTGAACAGAAGGCTAAAATTGTGTGTGTGTGTGTGTATGTATATATATATATATATATAGACAGTTTTAGCTTGAAAACCAAGTCAAAAGTTCAGAGTGAAATGTTCTTGTTACATTATGGGAATAGTGACTATGCGAAACTATGCTTTCTGCTTTCTCTTCACAGGAAAACATTCAAAGTAGATGACATGCTATCAAAAGTAGAGAAAATGAAGGGAGAACAAGAATCTCACAGGTACTGTCCTGCATATATGTTTGTGTCTGTACAAATGAGCACATGCATTTGCTAAATCAAGTCTTTTTGATAAAGTGAAAGTGATAAAGAGTAATTATTAGAAGCAAGGTACTTACTGTTTGAAATGTTGCTTTCAAAATCTTAAAATATATATGTGCTTGTCACTTAAACTTGGAGAAAAGCAGTATCAGGATGAAATTTCAATACTCATTGTGCTGTTTTTTAAAATGCGCGTAGAAGCCTCAAAAAGGTATTTGTATTAACTTTTTTTTAGGAATGTCAGTTGTGTCATTAACTAATCTCTGTGTGTGCTGGAATAAAAAAAAGGCAGATTTGGAAAAATCCCATAGTTATACTATTTGGGGTTTATATGTTTGTATACTTGCTATTTTTAGCCTTATGTTCATAGTTACCTAAAACCCCAAACAAAACCAATCCCAAAACAAACCAAAAATCCCCATAACTTTTAACAATATTTAAAAGATCTTACCCATCTCAAGCCATAATAGGGTAACTAGCTATAAAATGTTTCCATTATAGAAACTTTCAATTTTCCCTTTTAATTCTCTTGAGAATTATTCTTTAGTCTGAGATTTTTGTTGTGGTCTGACCTCACATATATCTCATGTTGAACCTTTGCATAGTTCTGTCTGCATAACAGTGTTCACTCTTGAACAAATACATAATTTAAAGTCTTCATTCCATGTAGAACTGTCATTTGGGGATGGCTTACTCTGTGAACTAAATAGTTCTTACCTTTATACTGCTGTACCTATTGGTTTTGTCATGTTTCTTTTTTTTTCCACAAGGTTTACTTTATGTAACACACTTAAATGTTGGATAAAACTCATTTTATCAGGTCTTACTACTCTGCTTTAGAAAAAAATACTGAACTCTTGCTGAATTTGCTATATGGTATTTGGCAAAAGTCAGAGTTCAGCAGTGATGTGAAATTTAGGGATGATGCTTTCATCCTAGCCAGTCCTTGTAATGATTGCAACAAGAAAGCATGGCAAATATGCCTGCTCTGTTGTTTCTTGACCTGTTTCTTAGTGCTGAAATCTATGAAAAGCTTATTCACTGAGAAGTGATCTGGCATACAATGTGTTTGTGATATTTTTGTCATACATGATGACCATAACAATTTTTTAAAATTGTATTCATTATGTATGGATTAGTTAAACACCTAAGCTTTTTGTGAAAGTATGTGTGATAGAAATTAACCAATCTATTGTAAGACTTATTTGTTTTATCCAGAATTATTTATTTTCTAATCTATACAGTTCAGTCAGAGATCAGTTTTAGTCATGCAGGTTGGTTTTGTCTTCTCTTTTATGAGAGAGACTGTAGATAATTTGCCCAAACCCTTCTATTTAATGTACTGAATAAATCATGAAATGCAAAGCATTCTGGAAATTTTGAAACAAAACCAGACATTTTAAAGACTGACCTGAGTTGCTGGAATGTGTGAAGACCTGTGGTTTTTTTGTTGTTTGCTTGTTTTTTAACCAGCTGTTCTTTTTTCCATAGCATTTCCAAATAATCAGACTACTTCAGAGGCAACCATGCTAGATATGGTTTAGTCTGAAATTTATAAATTCTGTGTTATAAGATGTTTTACAGATTTACAGTATATTACATTTCCTCAATTATATTTTTATCCATATCTTTTGGATATTTGCTAGGTAAATAATTCTCTTTTTAAGGATAAGGATTGTGTTAAAACAGTCAGAATATTGATTTGAGTATTGTTTTTTGTGCTTTCAAAACTATCAAAAAATGTACTTTAGAGTTGGTCAGGAAAAGTAACGTGGATGAATGATGCAAGTTGGTATAGATGTGGTCTTCTGAATGCTTAAGCTGTTGGGCATTTTTACTGATCATCTCAGTGCTCTTGGGAATGTTTGTGTTTAAAAATAGGTGTTGAATGTCAGGTTGTATCTTCCTGAGAAAGTGAAGGTGCTCAAACTTGAATCTGGTATTCTAGTGTAACAGATGTTTTGTTCAATACTGTGTACTTCAGAAATACTTAGCGTTTTTGAGACCCATTTTAATCTAGGTTTATGAATGTTTGCTTTAAACTGAAATGTATTCTGAATATAACAATTGGAAATAAAATGGGTCTACAGTCAGCAAAATAGTCTAGGCTATGAGCTGCAGTGTTGTGAAAAAAAAATAGATGCGATTATTATTTTGATTGCATGTGTTATGGATGATACAGACTTGATGTGACAGATAATCTTTATTTCTAAGGCTGTAGCTTCCCAGATATTCGTTAAAAAAATGACCTTGATACCAAGTGCAAGTTCAGGGTAAAGTTCTGGAAAATTTCCACCAAAACTAGTCTCTTGCTGACGAATGTCTAGGAAATATGTTTGCCTGCCTGTGAAAGCAAGATCTCATGTCTTCAGAGTGCGCCATTCTACTGTAATGTTTACACCTCTACTTTTTTTTATGTATCAAGTCATAGAAGACATAGAATCAGTCTGTAAAAAGAAAACTGTTCTACAGCTTTGCATCAATTGCAACTGCTGTATCCAGGCAGTTTCCAAGTTAGAAAGATGGACCAGTTCATTATAGTTCTGCCTCTTGTGCAGGCCTGCCAGTGAATGGAGTGGAGTGGCTGCTGTGAGAAGAAAATACATATTTGTTCTAACATTTCCTTTCTTTTTTTATTCTGTTTAGCTTGTCTGCTCATTTGCAACTTACGTTTACTGGGTTCTTCCATAAAAATGGTATGTTTGCTAATTCATTCATTATACTGTTGTATAGCACCTTTGAAATTATTATAGATCTGCAAGTGGGGTATTTGAATATTTTGAATCTTTGCTGTTTGGATACAGATTTTAATATATTTAAGTTCAGACTGTCCCATTAGTTACAATATTTTCAACAGCACTTTAAATATGTTGTAGTGTAATTGTAATATTAAGCAGGTAAGCCTTACCAGGGTTTTTGTCAGAACAGTGATTTTGAAAAATACTTGAAGTCATCATCCACTCAAACTGAAATAGACCTTGAGGAGTTCCTGAAGACAATGATTTCATGGGAATGTGTCTTTGGGGTATTTGAAGTAGCTTTAAAAAACCCCTTAGCCTTCAAATAGAAGGTTTTTTTAGAAGATTGGGTGTTTTAGTTTAAAATAGAAGTGTGAGAAATCTTATAATGTAGAGCCTAGAAATGAAGAAAGGCTGTGTCGTTAATTGTAGAGGTGATGGAAAACATCTTTAGTGACTTGCAGTTGTTCTGTTGTCTTTTATGCACATAAGGCTTTACCTCTCAAAATCGGAATGTTGGACTTCCCATACCAGAAGGAAGGGTTCTGTTCCTTTAACGAAAGCAGAAGTGACATGCTTTGTGCATGGATAAAATCATGTCTTTACTTCCCTGAAAAAAAATCAGCTGTTTATCCGTTAAATAAAGTGGTGTTTCTCATTTTCAGTTAAAAATATTCTGAATAGCTTCTTAGTCTTTGGATGTGAAAGCCAATACAGTTCACGTAACAGGTTTTGTACTTTTTTTCTGGAAGTTATGTTCCCTGAAAGTAACTCATGCTTAACCAGATCTATTCAGTGAGATGTTTGAAAGTTAAAGTTGCTGAAGTCTAGATTTTAGTATCGCTTCTTTATTAAACTGTAGTAGTATTCTGATAGTTTTTCAAATCTGTAGATTAGGAACATTCTGCTGCTGGAACTTCAGAATACTGCTGGTCTCAATGGATAGTATTCATCTTGTTTCTGCTCTCGGGAAGTCCGTGTTATATGTTGCCTTCAGTATTTTTAAGCTGGAAAACCACAAGAGGCTTTTGGGGCAGCTAGTGATAAGAATAGAGAAGTATAGAATAAAGGTGGAGGAAAAGGCATGCTTATGTGTCTTAAATTCAGACATGTAACTCCAAAATCTGATCCTTCCAGGAGTGTATGTAATTGTAAGCCTCACATATGGATTTAAAAGTACCTAGTTGTTTCATAGATTTTGCTGGCACACCTTCCTTTTCTATTATAGTGTGATTTTAGAGACATGTGCTCTAGTAGATTTACCAATATGTTAGTATGTTTGACTTCATCTCTGTGTTTGACTGTTTAGATCATGTGACTACTGTTAACTATAAAAACCTTTCACTTCAAGAAAATACTACATATAGTGAGAGCCTGATGGTCATTTGTACCATAGAAAAGGATATCACTAACATAAGTAATGTATACAATATTGAATATTAAATAATTAGTGAAGCTGGTGCAATTAATATGCTTAGTTGTCTGGCTATAAATTATGCTAGAAACTCTTGAAACTGAGAGTGTGGTGGGGTTTTGGTTGTGTGGTGTGTGTATGTGTGTCCCTGAGTTTCTCTATTTGCTAAGAAAATTTCTAGTACGTCTCACGTTTACAATTTTTTTAAAAAAATCCATGTGTTTCATAAAACTGCCTACTGTTCCTAGATGAGTTACCAGAACTCTCTCTTAACTGATACTCATTAAGCTTGTTCAGTGTTGATACAGTGTCAGGAGAAGAGACATGGGTTATGTTGTCTTTACTATACTGAAGCTGTGCTCTTTGTATCTGATGAGCATAACAATATTTCATTGAATGTCAGATTTTTTTGTGACATCCACTAAGGTGAACCCATCATGGTTTTTAACTTAAGCCCATAATAATAGATGTTGTAAGAGCAGAAGTAACTTCTCACACATTCAGTTTTGGCTGATCATTGCTTTTCAGAATTTTTCACAAACTGTTTTTTAACTAGATATATAATGAAGTTTTATCTTATTATTTTTCCGTATGAGACCACATTTCCAGATAGATATAGATTCACATAATTAAAGGTTCTCTTACTATACAATGAAATTTATTTTGTAAGGTTGTTCTTAATTGGCATTGCTGATCATAGTGTTGATAGTAGCTGTTTTGAAAATTCCAGGCTCTAGGAACTTTATCATGCAGAGACTGTGGAGCCAGGTCTTATTTTTCTAATACTTTTCAGGTTCTTTCAGGAGTCCTTTAACATCTGTTCTGCGTATACTTAACCTTGCAAAATCTTTAAGGTTGTTTGTTTTGTTTTGTCTTCCTATCTGATAGCATCTGGATCTTACATTTTGATGCAAACCAAATTCTCGGTTTGCAAGCTGTAATGAGAAAAAAAAAAAATATACAGGAAATAATTTGACCCATCTGTAATTAGTATATTCTGTCTTTCCTTAAATCTACCCATATCCTTTTTCTCTGCTATAAAAAGATTTTGGCAGTGCCAAAGATAGCAAGTTTACTCCTTTAAACATTGGAGATCAACTATACTTTTTAATCAGCTTGTATTAGAATAGTTTGGTAGGATTTGTTCTCAAGTGGGAATTTGCAGTAATTTGGGGAGAACTGAAACTTAGAATTTAACTAAAGGTCTTTGTGCTTGGAGGTACCTAGGGTTAAGTAATTACAGGTGGATTTACACCATTGAATAGATCTTCACTTTTTCAGAATTTACAATATTTTTCTGTTTAGATAAGCCATCACAAAACTCAGAGAATGAACAAAATTCTGTAACCCTGGAAGTACTGCTTGTGAAAGTTTGCCACAAGAAGCGAAAGGTAAAATTTATTTTATAAACTATTAATATATATTAAAGCAAAATGCTTACCTGCTTCTGGAACATCTAGTTAACACTGCCACACAACAAGGTAATGGTGAAATGATGCTTCACTTAAATTTAAAGACTAAATTAATCGTAAGAACTCATCTTTTCAAGTTGTTTTCTATTGACTGGGTAAGGGATTCTTAAGAAGCATATGTGTATATATGGATTTTGCTCTGCATTGTGAGAAATAACTGGAAGTTTTTTAAAAAAATCAGATTTGTTAATTGAACTTGCCTATGTCACATTTGCTCATTGTGAATGTCTCACATTATTAAACTGTTAATTCTGTTGAGATGTCCAGAGGCTTCAGTAAACCAAGCAATCACAAAATCATAAAATAGTCTATGCCTTTCAGAGTTTAGAAATAAAAAGGAACAAATTGTATTTGGTTTGAATTTTCCAGTCATCTGCCAAGTCTTGTCTTTTTCCTTGCTTTTTCTGTACTTATGTTTTTTACATTGATCATCTCAATTATTGCAGATTTTAGCTACTATGAATCATAAACAATTTTCATATCTCTTTTTTTTTTTTAAGCATCTTTGAATTTGCTTGCTGTTTTAGCTATGTTTGCTTCATACCAGTTGGCAGATTAGCTTCACAGCTATGGGAATATGGGAAGCTCAGTAATGCATGCTGTAATTTTTAACCAAAAAGGGAAAGATTTGCAGTCAGAACTTTGTGTATTTTCCCTAAGAATGTTAAGCTGTTTTGACATATTTTAAAGAGTTAATATTGTTTCTAGCCAATTTTGTTACATGCTATAGTATGGATAAATATGGTAAAAGCAGGAGGTACTGATGGTTTTTGAAATGTTTTGCTGCAAGTTTCATACTTAGGCCATCTTGCCTTGTTTTTCCAATAGTACACAGTGTTCAATGATCTATTTGTGAGATAACTGAATATAATAAATCCTAGGTAAGTGGTTCTTTATCTCCTAGATAGCACAAAGTGCACTTTGTAATATTGGAAGGAGAAGATAGGAAGCCCTTGAAATATATATACACATAACCAAAACATTTAATTTCTTTAGGTAAGCAGAATTAAATTAGTATTAATGACTGTTCTACAGTCTGAGTGCCTCATGTTAGTGTTAATTTAATCACTTAGAGATAGATGGCTGCTGCCAGAAGTGGTTATAAAATGCCAGTTTTCTTTACAGTTTCAAATATCTGGTTTTACATTTAAAACCTGGGATTGTTATTCCAGATTTTTTTTTTAATTTACATCTGTTACAAGGCTTATTTTCAAAAAGATGGCAGGACAAGTACAATTCATGAATTATATAAATTTTAACACAATGGTGTTACTTTGTATTCTAAAGACCTAAACCTTAGCTTTCTTGTTTTCCTACAGGATGTCAGTTGTCCAATAAGACAGGTTCCTACAGGTAAAAAGCAGGTGCCTTTAAACCCAGACCTCAGCCAAATCAAACCAGGCAACTTCCCATCACTTGCAGTTTCCAGCAATGAGTTTGAACCAAGCAACAGCCATATGGTGAAGTCTTACTCATTGTTATTCAGAGTAACTCGCCCAGGAAGAAGAGAATTTAATGGACTGATCAATGGTGAAACTAATGAAAACATTGGTAACTTCACTCTTTAAATAAGCTTATACAAGGTTTATCTTGTAGGCATGTATACAGTTGTCTTGATGTGCAGCCTAGGTCATACTCTGAGAAGGGACAGTAATAGATGAGTGACTGAGTTGTTTAACTTGTTTTCAGTCTATTTCAAGATGGGGCTAAAATACAGTTTGTAGCTAGAAACTGTGCTTCTATTTTTGTGTAAATTTACCACCAATTTTTACTAACATGTGATGGTGAAGTTGTGAGCCAACGCTGTTGGAGGGTGAATAATGGAAGAGCCCTGTGATCAGTGTGACTGTTATTAAACCTCCAACAACACTGGTCACTGCTGACTCAGCTGTAGGTGCTATCATGGTCTCTCCTCAAAACTAAATGACTAGCCAACAAAGAAAATAACTTAATTAGAAATTTTAAAAAGTTATTTTCTTAATCTTATTGAGGCATATGCTACATTACAAATTTTATAGCCTTGGAGAATGAGTGTTGAATGAAAAACATTTTCTCACTGGTTTATAGCTACAAGAGGAGGAAGATCAAATCCTCAATTTTTTTATGCTGACAGAGTAATATGACTAAACTATACGTGTTATATGTATAAAATATATATGAACATTTCTAAAATATGATTAACTGTTAAGCTAAGTGTTATTTCCTTTGCCATTGTGCTGTTTGTTAAATACTGTCCTTTTCTATTGTATGACATGTCTGACAACTAACAGCCAGTTATATTCTTCAATTATATAGAAGCTGTTTGATCTCTTGAATTTGTGTTTATATAATAATTGAATTCTATATTTCTTATGTACCAGATGTCAATGAGGAGCTTCCAGCTAGAAGAAAAAGAAACTCTTCAAATCGTGAAGATGGGGAAAAGACATTTGTAGCACAAATGACTGTATTTGATAAAAACAGGTAATATTATCCAAAATAAATTTTGGTCTGTTAATCGTTAGGAATTTGTTTAATATTAAACTTAAATCTGTTCTTTATGTTCAGTGTTGTTTGGTTTTTGGCTGTATTTTTAGTCAGTGTTTACAATAAGAGCTTAAGCTTGTTGTCTTTGTAAAAAAAAAAAAAAATAAAAAAAAAATGCAGGTTTCATAATGCACGTTTTCTACAGACACCTGTTCAGTGACAATTGTAAATAATTCCCTTTTATGAACTTGAGTATTGTTAATTGAGTCCTGTTAATATGCATCAGTATGTCTTTTCCTTGATAGTTTTTTGACAGACGTAATTTCTGTGGTTCTGTTAAAATTCAGTGACAGAGTAATTAAAAAGTAACTCAAACAAGCAGCATCTGAAATACGCTTACTGCTTACATTCTATTTAGTGGCATAATTTTCTCCATGCCCAGACTTTTGCTGATGTAGTCACAGATTGTATTCTGCTGGCACCTAAAGAAGATGTTTGATTTCTCTGTAGTAATTGAAAAATAACAAGTAGTTAAAATCACAGTAGGCTTACTCTGTCATGGAGTTTGTGTGATGAAATATTTTAATATTTGTTATCTTCACACTACTTAATATATTTGAAAGAAGGTGGAGTCAGATAAACTCACATGTAGGTGTAGCTTAGAGCAGTCCAGATAGTTCAGAAGATAAGTAGCATACCGTTTACTGGTAAGGACATTGTAGTTGTTTGTCCTGCAGAAGATGATTATACCAGCAATACTCAAAATACAGTATAGAAAATAAGTGTTCTGTCCATGGCAAGTGTCGATCCCAGGTGGAGGTAGGTATCTAGGTAATTAGTAAAAATTAAAATTATATCTTCAAGAAAAAGCTGCTTAAAACATAGCTCCAAGTGAATCTGACAAGATGGTGATTTATCCAAATACATTTTTAGAAGTCTTATATCTTGAGTAGGGTTTTTTAAAGAAACATCTTTCTCTAATCTCTATCTTCTTAGAAATCTTGACAATATTTTGTTCTTTTTTATTACTGAGTTCTACCGGAGAACTTTAATATACTAAACATGATATGAACCGTTAGGTGGGTTTGTAGTGATGATACATAAGCTAGGATATTTTCAGCCGTGCTGCTGTATAAGTGACACTGTCTGTTTTGTAGCAGAACTAAATCATGCATAAAAATCAGTACTTTTTTAAAGGAATTTTTCAAAATTTTACTTTATGTGAAAAGCCATCTTCAAAATGTAAGCTATTAACTTCATTAATATTTGTGGATTTTTGTAGAGTATAAACTGTTCTTTTATGTTAGCCTCTTGAAGTTACGATCTTTTGTTTGATGGAGGAATTTAAAAATAAGTTATTTTACCCAGACTCCAGGCCTAGAAAAGGATATTGGGCAGATCTAAGAAAAGTATTGTCTTAAGGCCATAGGTTCTCGATCTATACATTTGTTTATTTACCTTTTGAAGCTTTTCTAAATAGAGTAAATTGAGTTAGTGGTTTGCAAGATGCTGTCAAGAAAGAGAACGAAAGTTTTCTGATGGCTGGCTTGGTGCGTTTATAACTTTATTCTGCTGGGATACATCTGCTGTAATATAGTTTATGTATAAAAGGAAAAGGTAGGCTGTAGTTTACCTATTGCAATATCTCACTGTAGAATACTGAGGGTGTAGAGACAGAAGCAGCCTTTTTCTGCAAGACATAATTCCCAAGTTCATACTGTGTAACAGTTTGCCTACATTTGCATGGAATTTATCTACTTAGCAACAACTCGTTTATTTTGAATGATGCTTCTGTAGCTTATGATCTGTTGTTGGGAATGCTTCAGAAAGTAAAGTCTCAAAAGGAAAAAAAATTATCTTGGGAAACTGAGCTTGTATTGTGAATTTATATTACTTGCTGATTTGTGTTCATGTCTTTTTAAAGCATATTTATCCATGAAACATTTTCCTGAGACCGTACCTTTGATTCACTGCAACAAAATAAAACAAAATAAAGTAGAAATCAGAATTTCTCAAGCATCACTGAACAGACTGCTACATAGGAGGAAGCAGGATGAGATAGGAAAGAAAGTGAAACTGGTCACCTGAGATGATCCAAATCTGACCTGAATGAAATAAGAGCTGGAGAGAAAAAGTGTAGATCTTGACCAGTTGGCAGACTTCAGGGTAAACTTGAAAGTTTGCCTTAAAATTTTCTTACCTCAGCCAGAATAGTCTAAGAAATATAGAAATTTTTTTTCTTATTCAACTGGATATTTTATTTAGACATTTTTGTAAGACAACATTTTTCATTTGTCTTGTTTGAGAGTCATATGCAACACATACACTTGGCCATCTTATTCTCTTGGACAGAAAATATGTAGCGTGTTGGTTAACGTGTGAATTGCTCATTCTGGTCTATGTAAAGCTGGATTTTTGTTTGCTTTTTGAGAACATCATACTTTAAATTTACTATGTTGAAATCCTCTTAAGGTTACATCTGACATGGTTCTGATACAATGGTGAAATTCTTTTGTTTTGGAGACCTGATACGGGGTTGCTATATATTGGTTTGCTAGAGCAGAGGAGTTACTAATAAATCAGGAATAGAGATGATTTGGAGGGGTTGTCATTCAGTTTGGGTTTTGTTTCTTCCCAGGAAGATTCCCATCACAGTGTTAATTTGGTATTAACTGTAGTTTTCTTGCATCTCTTGAATGTTGTTTTTTTGGTTGTTTTTTTTTTTCTTGCATCACTTGAATGGGTGTTTTTACAGTATTGTTTGGCATTAGGCAGCTTTTTTTATTACGGGTATTGTTTACCTAAGATTCCCACTGAGTTGCCAAATAAATTTCCTGAAAATCTGCCTTTAGTTTCATGGAAGGATAGTCACTGTAAAATAAATTCTATGTTTTAATAGACAAATAATTAAAATTAATCCATATCCTCTGTGGGCAGGCGCTTGCAACTTCTGGATGGGGAATATGAAGTGGCCATGCAAGAAATGGAAGAGTGTCCCATTAGCAAGAAAAGAGCAACGTGGGAAACAATACTTGATGGAAAGGTATGGATTGTTTCAGTAGCTGAAAGACCTGTCTTCACTTGAAAATAATCTGGATTAAGGTGGAACACAATGCAAAGTGCAGTCCATGGCTCTTCTCCTGAATGTGGATTAAATTGAACAGTTAATAGTCTTTCAGGATGTATGGACACAAGTTTTGACTTAGCTCTTGGTTTAGGAAAGCTTTGGCTACACTAGATCATTGATACAAACAGATGTTAACCTACTGTTGGTATGTCAGCTGTCTCTTTCAGTGACTTCTGAATTCCTGTCTTAGAATCAGGCAAATTATTTCTTGTACATCCCCAGTCTCCTTGCTGGCAGAGCAGTATGTGAAGCTGAAGTCCTTGACTTAGTATAAACACTGCTTAGCAACAACTAAAACATCAGTGTGTTATCAACATTATTCTCATACTAAATCCAAAACACAGCACTGTACCAGCTACTAGGAAGAAAATTAACTCTTCCAGCTGAAACCAAAACAGGTTGCTTTCTGTTGTTGGGAGAATGAGAGGGGATTTTCATGCTGGAGGTGCTACCCCAAAGAAAAGAGAAAATAGTCATGGCCAATGTGTTTATCACCCAGATCCAATAAGCACATTGTCATTGGTTTTCTGTTTATGCGATAGCATCTCTGTAAAGTAATGAGGCCTGCATATAATAAAGAGCTATTAAAATGGAATTCTATATCTTCATTGATAAATTTAGTGTATGATACTTGATAATAGGGGTTTTGGAACTGACTCACGTTTCTTCTATTTCTTTATTACTACTATCTTGATAAGCAAGTGGAACATAACACATCCACAGGGGAATATTAAAATAGCATGTCTACAGCAGACAGTGATGTAGTTTTTAAAGCTTATGTATTAATATACAATACTGGACTGCAGAATTAGGAGCAGGTATGAGTAGAAAGAGAAATACACTGGCAGCAGGCTGTAAGTGCTGTTTTCTTTCTAGTCAGGGCCCATGCTGCTTACTGTTTAGTGTTCCACAAAGATCAATGTGTGCCACAGTATGTGCATGAAGTGGTTGCTCAGTAATGTGCATGAAACTGCATAGCCATCTTTTTCAGCTTTTTTTTGGTAGTTTATTTAAATGTATATAATTCTGTTGAAAGCACAAGGACTTCACGTAATTAAAAAATTACATCTGTCCCCATTCTGTCAGTGTTTTTTCACGACTGTTTTTGTTCCCCCCACCAGAGATTGCCTCCATTTGAAACATTTTCTCAGGGACCTACACTTCAGTTTACTCTTCGTTGGACAGGAGACACAAATGATAAGTCTACAGCTCCTATAGCTAAACCTCTTGCAACACGAAATTCTGAAAGCCTCCCTCAAGAAAACAAGCCCAATTCTGTTAAACCTACTCAGACTATAGGTAAGCAAACTTTGGTTTTGCTTCTGAATAATGATCTGCTTAGCACTTCTGTACTTCAGGGTTCCTGACACACTGGTGCAGCTGCTTATAATCTTAAACATGAAAATGCAAAATTCGAATAGGCTTTGTTGTATCCCATACTTTGTATGTGTTTTAAGGTGAATTTAAAAGCTAAAAATAGTAGGGTCTTTGAAGTCATGATAATATTGAAGTAATTATATACAATACTCATAAATTCTGATGTAAAAGAGAGGAAAGTCTGTGAATAGGACTTCTAAGGGTTGTGTGGTGTTACTGTTACAGTTACTGTTCTGGTGGTATTTGGATATATAGTAATAACTTTTTAATGCTTTATAGTGAAAATAGTTTAAAAATTTGTCTATCATGATATATTTAGCTCTTGGAAAATGTTACTGCAAAATGTGACAAACTCTAAAATATTGCACATTACACAGCACTTTTGTGGTGTAAAGGTAACTCAGGTTCTTTCAGAATGCTTATTAACTGGCACTGATCTCCTTGAAACATAGTTTGATGTCTAGGCATGGTCCCATGGTGGAAGCACTATATATATATTTTTATTATTTAGCTGCATTTTCTGCATATTCACATAAGTTGAACAAAGATTTCTGTTTAAGCCTAAAGGATTTTTCTGCTTTTATTCATTTTGGGCAGTCTGAGGTTGTCTAGATAGAATGCAGGCTTGCAGTTAGTACTGTCTGAAAATAGTTCTGTGTAGGTAAGAGAAAAACATAGCAAGTTTGCAAACTATAACTACAGTGTGAGCTAAGTCTGTATTTGTTGTATGTAAATTAATCTGTATGTATTATTGAACTAGTTTCTCCCTAGTCATTCATTAATGTTTAGAGCATTGTAATTTAAAACTAAATGCTTTTCAAGTTCAGAATTTTTAATCATTTGAAATGTAACTGGTTTTGTTTCCTTCTGCAAGTTCATTCCTGTACATTCTTTCCAAACGAGTTTACATGTTGTCAAACTTTGTAATCAGATTTTGATCTATCGTAACTTTAAATATGTAACACATTAAAAGCAGTCGTGGATGGACTGTTTAAAATTGAGTTGTTTAACCTTGCTTCCTGGAAACATTTTTAAGTAGGGTACAATTATTTCGCTTTTTACTTGTTTGCCTGGTTTGTATTTAATGTAGTAAGTAGCACTTCTATGGAGGCTACAGTGTCATTGAAAATTTAATGCAATTACCATTGTAATCTGATCCACTACTTTACAGATTACATAATGCCAAAAACATTAATGCAGTCTGATAATACTGCAAATCTAAAATTATAGAATCTGTTCCCTTAATAAAGCCCATTTTACATTTAAACACGTTAGTTCGAGAGCTATTGGAATGTCTAGAAACTGCTCCTTCTGCCGTTACTGCTACTAAAAAGCTTGTCTTGTGAAGCTGCTGAATATAAAATATTTATCCTAAATTTACATAGGTGATTTTCAGCACTATTTTAGAAAAACTTTGTAAAATATCCTTTGACATTTCTGTAGGTATATGTTAAAGAGTACGTGTTTCAGATCAATTTCTTTATGGATAGTTTTCTGAGAATATTTCCCTTTACATAAGCTTAGCTAATCAGTATCAGTGCTGGGTCTTACCTTGAAAATTTAAATGGATTTATAAGGTTTGACCCCTAATGATTTTTAAAAAGATGCTATCACGTTCTTTGAATTCATGCATCATGTAAAAACGTTAACAGACGTGTACTTGCTGTGAGATGTTTTGCAGAAGATTGTAGTATTAAGATAGCGTTTTGATATGAAAAACAACCCATGACTTTGTCCTTTGAGAGTTATTTAGATCTTCTCACAAAATACTGGAATAACTGCTGAGCGGGGAGTAATTGATTGTATACTGCAGTTTGGTGAACTGAAAAACTTCACAGTTATGTAGCTACTCAGCAGGTAGCGTGCTATTTGATTATAATTATATCAAGGAATTAAGCTTAATGTAGTTTTTATATTTTTAAATAAAAAATTGTGAATAATTTAGTATAGTTGCTTAATTGCAATTTGGCTAATATGTTTCTAAAACCATGTTTCTTCCTTGATGTCCCAGAGCTTAGCTCAAAAAAGCTACTACTAAAAAAACTTATTGACACTAGATGGAAAAGGCACCTTTGACCATTGTGTCCTTTTTTTTTTTTTTTTTTTTTTTTTTTTTTTTTTTTTTTTTTTTTTAATAGCATTTTCCTGTCTCAGGGTCATATTTAATCTGAAACTCCCCTTTGATTCCTAAGTGGCAGTGGAGGCTGGCCTAGATACTATCTTTCTTTTGTCTAGCTCACAGTTGTTTGTAACTTTGGCTTGGAACATTGGCAAGTAAGGCCTAAGGACAGCTGGAAAACTTAAATTGTATTGAAGACAACAGTCTGCTCCTGTTGTTTAAACATCTGTGAACATACCTAGTCTCTTGAACGGCGCCCGATTCACTTCAGAGTAATCAGTATTTCCAAACTGGTAGCTAGGCTGAAACTGTGTGATTAAAGGAAAGTTCTAGGTCCCTATTATAGAAGTTATTATCTGGAGTGCAGTGGTTCTGTCTCCAGGCTGTGTCTGGGCTGTGTAGCCAGGCACTGTTTGTGAAGGGTTGTCTTGCTTGTTTTGAGGTTCATCTATGGTAGCACATCAGAGACTTTGTGCACGATGATATTTCAGTCTGATTTTGTTGGATATATAACTGAGATTTTGGAGCTGCAGTAGTTATAGCAAGGGAATGAGTATTATTTAAAAAAATACTGCATTTCCAAACATGCTTTTTATGCCGTTATATTGTAGTATATGTTGGGAAACGTGTCAATGGTAGCTCATCTCTGGTGAGACTTTAAGGGTGTAATTTCTTTTCACTGTTTTTAGAGGTTTGGTGTGTAGTAATAAAAAAGTTAGAGCAAGAAGAATTTTACCCTACCTGTGCAGAAGCCCCTGTCTAGAATGATCCCTAACATCCTCAGCCAACCTACAGACATCTTTGTCTTTGGACAGAGTAAAAGAATATTTAAGTAAGACTGACTCCTGTCTTCTGAATTGAATGTTGTACCTGAGCTAGGGATTGCAGACACTTAGGTTTCTTAAATCAGGATGAATGGCTGACACTTAATGCACACAAACGTGAAGTAATTGCCAATAGAATAAAGGCTACAGAAGCAGGGAAGTGCTTGAACTTTCACTGTTAAAGTTGTTCTGCTTTCTCTTTACTACCTCATACAAGGCCTCTTTGTATTTTAGAGCTTCTTGGTGACCTATATTGTAATTTGTTAGGCAGATTTTATGCTCAGACTTGCCAAAGAAATGACGGTATGTTGACTAACTCTAGAAAGTGTGTACTAGTTTACTACATAACAAATAGTAGGAAACTTCTATCAGCAATTCTGATAGAAGAAAAAGGTCCAGTGCATCTTTCCCAAGGGTATATGAATTTGGTGTTGTCATTTTACTTTGGCATGTTTCCCAAGGCAGACCAGTAGAATAAAGACATCAAAGACTTTCTAAATATGGCAGCTTAAGCTTTGCTGTAATTACAAAGTGCTCAAAGTAACTGAGCCATGGAATTCTAATTTCTCTGATGTGGTGCAGGCTGAAGTGTCAGGCCTCCTCTCTTTGTCATACAGAAAGAGGATGAAATTTCCCCTGTTCTCCAAAATATTAAATATAAGTGCAGCCTCTAAAAGAGCTCCTTTTTTCAGTAGAGCTGAGACTTCTTTTGCCATCTTTTTCACCATTCAGAAGGAAGTAGGTGTCATTGGTTTCTCCTGACAGTAGATTTATAAATCCTGCTTTAGATGTGTGGAGTTTCCTGTTAGTTGTATGGAATCAAACCATCTTACTGAGATTAAAATGTATTGAAGAGGCCCAGAGATGACTGAGCAGTGCCATTACACACGCAAACAATAAGTGTTTGAGACACAAGAGTTAAGGGTTCAAGTTTCAGTTAAATATTTTGTGTGCTGCTTGCATTTCATACTGATGTCTGTTATGTGACTTTGGAAGCTTCTGAGGCTGAGTTTAAGAAAGGTATGTGCCACGCAGCCGTCTGAAAGCAGTGTTTCTTTTTTGTTTCCCAGCCACACCAACTTTTAGCTATACCGAAAGAACTCCTCGGTTGCTTAAACAGAGTAAGAAAAATGTTGCTCTTTACCTGACCATTTTTAAGTTCTCTGAAGGGTTCTCCAAAACTGGAGATACATCTGGTGTTTAAAATGGTGGGTTTGCCTCTAGATTTCTGAAGGAAGCTGAGCACCAAGATTTCCTTGTTGCTGATAGGAAATACTTTGTCAAAGTACACTAGAGTAGCCCATTTTCTTGAGCAGCAGTGTGCCCTTCTTGGGGCACACTTCCATACTTGGGTAAGAAATGGTGTCTTTGTTTTGTTGTTTTTTCTTCCCCTCTTCACCAAAGAAATGTGATTTTTTTTTTTTTTCAGCTGTGAAAGAATCCTTGCCGGCAGACCTTCAAACAAGAAAAGAGAGAGATGTTTTAAATGAACCTCGACAAAAGTTGCGAATATTTTACCAGGTATTGAAAATAAGCATTAGAGGGAAAAGCTAGAATCTAAATATTGCATGGAATTAAAATGTTCACTTCTCTTCTGAATTGGGTGGAAATTTCCATTTGATTTTTAGTGGATGCCTTAAGGGGGCTTAGATTCACATATTAAGAGCCATTCCACATAGTTCTTCTTACAGGAAGTATTTTTGAAAACTAATCTTCCTGGAGGCATGTCCAATGCTCCACAATACAAAGGACATCTCTTGTTAGACATCTGGAAGGGGACAGGTGGTCTCCCTATGGGGAAAAAATTCTTGAAATACCAGTGTTTCGGTACACTGAGCTGATGTAGTGTTCTCAAGAACTTACTGTTAGTGCAGAGATCTCCTGAAATGATGCCCAACTCTGTTTTGGGGGTTGGGAAGTTAATGAATGAAATGCATTTGATGCTAATACTATTTGTTCCTTCGTTTGCATCAGTTCCTTTACAACAACAACACGAGACAGCAGACTGAAGCGCGAGATGACTTGCATTGCCCATGGTGCACACTGAACTGTCGGAAACTGTATAGTTTACTCAAACATCTTAAACTTTGCCACAGCAGGTTTATCTTTAATTATGTTGTAAGTAATCTTTTTGTAGTTTAGCACTACGAAACACTGTACACTCTGTCACAGATATTACATATGCAGTGATTCTGTTGCTAGCCTGTTAAGTTGTAGAACTGTATTTACAGGCTAAATACAGCTTCCTTTGAAGGTTTTATGAATGTTTGCATGTTACACAGGAAAAAAATATTGTGGTATTGATTTTTATTTCTTTAAATATATATAGTAGATGGTGCTGATCACTGGAGGATTAATTCTGACTATAGCTGCTGCTTTTGCATTAATGTATTATATGATGTAGAAAGCAATGTAATCTGTTTGGTTGGAAGTCTCTTGAAGCTTCAGGAAATTTAGAAATGTTCTAGTTCCTAGGGTGCTTGTTAGCAATCTTTTGCTAATACTTTCTTTAATTTTAGAATTAATTCTATTCTGAGTGGGTTTATATAAAACGGTACAGAGCAAGGAAGCTTTAGTATAATCTTACTAGAGGTTAAAAATTATTTGGGTGTTGTAAATGAAACTAGAGCTATGCCAGATTATTGATAGGGTGATGCTGAAAGTATTCAGAATTTAAAAGAATACTCGTTTAAACTTCCTGAGGTATTGCCGTTACTGTTTGCTAAGTATATTTGCAATTATCTGTTTCAGTATCATCCAAAAGGTGCTAGGATAGATGTATCTATCAATGAGTGTTATGATGGCTCCTATGCAGGAAATCCCCAGGATATCCATCGTCAACCTGGCTTTGCCTTCAGTCGCAATGGACCAGTCAAAAGAACTCCAATCACACACATACTTGTTTGCAGGTAAGGAGGTGGAAAGCAAGGTGTATCTGTATTTGTGTAATACAGCATGTGGACCGGATTGGTAAATCTGTAGGTGCACATAAACAGTGTTAAATTTCACTATCACTAAACTACAGCAATTTATTGACTAAAAAAAAGGTAATTGAAGGATGGTAACTTCATTTGTAATTTTTCTATGCCTTTTCAGTTGAGGGATTGGTTCTGAATATTGTAACTTTTTAACTGCCTTATCCTAATTCTTTCCCAAAAGGTCGAGTGTGGGGTGTTGGGTTTTTAATGGGGTTTGTTTCACTGCTGGTGATTTCTCTGTGCCACACCCCACCCCACCCCCACCCTCTGCAATATTTTTGCAAGATAGAGCTTAGAAGAATAATCTGTGTTAATCGATTACATTTCTTAGTATTTGCATATTTGATAACAATGGTTGACTTTTTTTTTTTTTTTTCTTTCTAGGCCAAAGCGTACGAAAGCAAGTATGTCAGAATTTCTTGAATCTGAAGATGGAGAAGTAGAACAACAGCGAACATACAGCAGTGGGCACAATCGGCTATATTTCCACAGTGACACGTGTTTACCTCTCCGTCCACAAGAAATGGAAGTAGACAGTGAGGATGAAAAGGACCCTGAATGGCTACGGGAGAAAACCATTACTGTAATTATTCCATTTATACAAAATTATTTTAAATGGATTGTGTTTTTTAAAAGATGGCCCACAGTTGTTGTAGGGAACAAACAGAGCATATGTTGTGAAAATGATGCATTTTAAGTAGAGAATTCTGTGATGCTGAGCCACTAATAATAGAAATTCATGGAATCAAAGTTTGTATTTTCAAGTATGTCTTTAGTTGCAAAGCTAGTTCTGTCCAGGTGTGTCCTAACAGGTTTTCATTGTGACTGGTTTTCTCCTTTAAAGAGGAGATGCTGGTATCACAGCAGTACACACGGGTGTGTATGTAATATGGAAGTAATTTATCAGCGCGGTCTCTACGTGTTATGACACTTTTTCTGACTTTGACTGCAGTGCCTGAATTTTCATCAGTAGTTATTCCTGTGATGTATAGGTGGCATAAGTTGAAATTTAGGTGTGCTTTCACCACTTGTCAGCATACAGGCAGTTCTGGTGTGGTTTGTTTCTTTGCCTGTCCTTTCTTACAATCCTTTATCTCTCCAGCAAATTGAAGAATTTTCTGATGTTAACGAAGGAGAGAAAGAAGTGATGAAATTATGGAATCTTCATGTTATGAAGCACGGGTATGTTACTGTGCTTAGTTTTGATACAAATAAATTATGGTATAGATTTGGTTGACCATTTTGCATTGCAATTTACTAAGTACTTAAAATTCAGCTAGCTCAGTTGTTTAGGAAAGTATCATTAAATGGTAATTTGGTAACAAGCTTTTGACTTAAGTTTTTTAAAAAATGTTCTTGTGCCTAGTAGCCCTGTGGCTTTGAAAAGGAAAATGTTGCAGCTGTTGAGACTCTGTAATAGATGGTTTACGCAGTTACATTGATAAACCATTTTGTAGGGTATCTTTTTGTTGTTGAAAATGTTCTACTTGCATAATGATGGCTTTCTAATTTGACAGGTTTATTGCTGACAATCAAATGAATCATGCCTGTATGCTGTTTGTTGAAAATTACGGACAAAAAATAATTAAGAAGAACTTGTGTCGAAACTTTATGCTACACCTGGTCAGCATGCATGACTTTAACCTCATCAGCATAATGTCAATAGACAAAGCTGTTGCCAGACTCCGAGAGATGCAGCAGAAGTTAGAGAAAGGAGAATCAACCTCCCCAACAGATGAGGAATCTTCTGAGGAACAAAGTGGGACAACAAATGGATATAGTGAAAATAATATGAGAATTTCAGAAATGGATAGCATCTCAGGTGTCACAAAACAGAGCAAGAAACAAAAGCTCTGAAGTCAAAAGTCAATTGCCATTCAACGGACAAGCATTGAAGTGACATTCTAGGGTGCATGAGCTCTATAAAGAATTACACGCAAAAATACAGATTCCAAACAGGCACTGCTGGATGGAAATAAATGATTTCAACAAGGATATTGTTTTAACAGGGTTTCTATTCAGTTAATTATGCAAGTACTACATGTATATCGGTTTTGGTGATGTAATAACAATATTCTAAGAGTTTGAGCATGAAGAGCAATATAAAATCTTTTTGTAATTTTAGTAATTAGTGTCTTAAGAACTTTATGGAATTTACATAATTTAAGTATATGTAAAACCGTTTTTATATTAAGATTTTTGCATCTGTATCTGGCTGTTTTCCTACCATGAAGTTGTGAACCATTGGGGAAAGGGAATTGGGATACAGTTTCTGCTTTTCTTATTTAGAAATTCTCCAGTTAGCTTTTTGTGAAAATAAGGTCTCACTATTTAAAGTTTAACCTTGATCCTTGTATTTGAAATCATTTATCAATTGATCATAAATTAAAATTATTATTATTTTTTTTTTACACTAAAATTATCAAAGTTGGCGAACTTAGCACTTCCTTTGTCTTGTGCCTGTTTGGAAAGATCTTGGCTTTTCATGTTACAGACACAGTGAAGTACCACCTTGGCTTTTTGAGGTTACCAGCAGTTTGGTTTTCGTGGATAATTCTGATGTATTGATCACCCAGTGTACCATTTTAAACTTGAACATTAGCTCCTTTATATTTTTATTACACATTTACACAGCTACACAAACTATTTGATGTAAACCCTTTTTACTGGGGTTCTGCATCATAGTGTGCCATGCTAAAGCCGAGAGTCTATAGTCAGTATGTAGGCATTACGTCGATTAACTTCATTTGAAGTTTATGCCTGCTGTTTTGCCTGAGTACAGACTGCAAGTCCAGGCCATAGGTTTAGCTTTGGCTTTCGAGATGCCACTCTTGAGGGAAAAATGCACTGTAAAATTGGACCAGAAAATGTGTTGCACTTCTTATGCAAGTATTCTGTGATGTATTGTATTCAATACAGATACTAAGATGCTGACTAAACTATATTTGAGCAGTTTTGCACTGCTGTTAACACATTTTATGCATACGTTTACAGATTTTTTCCAATGGAAAGTGGTTTCACTACTGGTACAGTATCAGCACCGAAGGGTTTATTCCAGCAAGCACTGTGGTTGAGTGACATCACCTCAATTTTTTATTATCCTTAAAATATTGCATTTTTCATATTCTTTATTTATAAAGGAACAATGCTGCTGTAAATACAGGTATTTTTAATTTTTTATTTCATTCCATCACCATGAGATGCAGTTCCCTATTTGTTTAAGGGGTATATAAGCTTTCTAATGGTGTCTTCAGAAATTTATAAAATGTAAATACTGATTTTGATGGTCCTTAAGATGTGTTTAACTGTGAGACTATTTAACTAATGGTGTGGATGTGATTTGTCATCCAGTATTAAGTTCTTAGTCACTGATTTTGTGTACAAAATAGGAAAGAGGGAAACTGCAGCTTTCATTACAAACTTCTTGAATTTGCCAGCTCCCTTGAGTTTTAGCAAACTCTAATTATGCCTCTGGATAGTACATCAAGCATTTCTCTCTGGCTTTAATTTGCTAAAGCTGTGCACATATGTAAAAAAATAGATTATTTTAGGGGAGATGTAGTTCTAGAATTATTGCTTATGTCATTTCTTAAGCAGTTATGCTCTTAATGCTTAAAAGAAGGCTAGCATTGTTTGCACAAAAAGTTGGTGATCCCCCCAAAAATAGTAATGAAATTACTTCTGTCCAGTAAACTTTGTATGTCATGTCAATTTATAATAAAAGCTGAAAAAATCCCTTTGTTTTCTATTTATAAAGATGCCTTTTCTATATGTACCTTTGATAGATTTTGAAGATACCATGTAAGCTGGTTAAAAAGAATTTGAATGGTACAGTAGATGTAAATCAAACAAAAAAAAAACCCAACCAACAAAAAAAAAACCAAACAAAAAACCAAAACAAGTTCAGTTGTTTGAATGAACCATTGCTTTTACATTAAATGTTTTATTTGACATGGGCTTTTGTACATAAAGTTCAGTAATATAAAATCTGCCATGATGGTTGTCTAGTCATTTTGTATGCATGCAGAAAGGCCACAAGCAGCACCTTGTATAAACTCTTCTGCATGTCTCTTAAAATTTGGATACATGTTCTTCCTTTGCCAGATCATTACAAAGGTAGCTAATTTTCTGTCCAGTCTTTCTGTTACGTTTAAGGTGTCTCTATAAATTACCAGGTTTTTAGCTGGATTATAAAAACTTTTAATTCTCCTTTCTTGGGAGTAGAACTGAATACCTGAGATATATCTATAAGTTGTGTATTACTGTTTAGAACTGTAATTTATATAACTGAAAATGAAACGTATCACTTGTGATGTGTCAGTTATAAAAATGTGTGTTTTTTTACAGGCAAGTGGGTAATGTTTCAAACAAATTTTACAAGATAGTTTATTTGGAGTTAGGTTTAAATCAGTATAAGTTTAAAATTGTGTTTCTGTGGGACTGTAGAGGATGGATGCTCCAGGTACCACAGAACAAAACAAGGGATTGCACTGCTTGGCCAAATAGTGACTGTGGAATAGCAGACACTGAAAACCTTTTTCCATGTTAGAAATAATCCAGGTACTGAAATACAGAATACGGCAGCTAGATTCTGTAAACTTGAGTTCAGACTGCAGTTGTCCGGAATGCTTTTGTCTTTAAAATTGGCAAGGTTCTTCTAATATGTTCATGGCAGATTTTAATGATGTTTTGTATTTAGTGATCATCTTTGACATGACAGGTCTGTGAACCACAAGTTGGAACCTAACATGACTTGAATATTTAATTCAGCACATTAAATACTATATTCAAAATTGTTAGATGAATTTAAGTTGTTAACCTTAAGTGTATGTTGCTTTGAGTGTGTCTTCAATGTAGTCCTTGAATTTTTGGCGGGTGGGATAAAGATTCACTGCCTGGAATATGAGGCAACTGCAAATAATCTGAATTATTACTTCACTAATTACTTTCACCAAAACAAACGCCCCAAACCACAGAACCCTCCCCAACCCAGCAATTTGATTTTACTGTTGAGAATGTAGGTGCCATTCTGTGAGGACAATTTTGACAATATTGTTCAAAGTTAAGTATTTCTTAATTCACAGAACAGATTGGTGCCATCAACGACCAGTGCTTGAATGAAGGTGTTCCTGTTGGACCAGATCCTGGTTATAAACCTCACCACTGCGTGGTTTCACAACTGAGAACACAAAGAACTTTGAATGAAGGAGGTGAGTCTTCCTTCTGTGACTGACATCTGCTGTTCTTGAGTTGCTTGATTTGAGACTGAAAATACACTTTTTAAGAGAAATACGCAGCATTTTATCATGAAGAATTACATATTTGAGAGAAAGCTACTATGTTGGCAACCCTACATTCTGGTTTCACAAGTTATTTTTCCTTTAAAAGAGACCAATGAAATGCGGCAGGCTACAGGTAAAGCAGAACTAAGGGAATAAAGCTGTGTGTTCAACATGGACTTTATTTGAAGGAGATTAAATATCTCTGCTTCTTGCTCAGTAATAGGGGCCAATAACTACTGTTGTGTAAGAGTTGCACCATTTAATACAACAGTAAGGAGACAGAAACAGTAAAATAGGGATAAAGTAGCTGTGATGGAATATTGAGTCAAGACATTTACAGATGCTGTAACTAATTTTTTTAAAAGGAAGGAAAATTATTTCTGCAAGAGATGTTAGTTAAGATCTGAACTTTACCAGAAAATAAAGGTAAGCACGCAAGTGGAGAAACCTGAAAAAATTGTTTGTGACTTCTGAGGGTCAGAAGATTAAAAAAATAAAGGAAAAGCTCTTAAAGATGGCTGCAGTGCTATAGAATACATTCTGTGTTCTTGTTAGAACAGTGATGCTGAGCTTTGTGCCCCAGTAAATAATTTACTAGACCATACACAGTCAAGGGATAGAACTTTATTTTTTTAAAAAATTCAGATTTCACTTGACACAAGTCTTAGTTGAGGTAAGTGAATATACTAGCTTAAGAAAACAACTTTCAGGATTGGATTTCATAAGCATTTAACATGCCAGCAAGGCTCCAATAGCTAGAGGTGAAAAATTACAGAGGAAGTGTCAAGTTTTCTATCTAGCTGAACTCCACTGTGGAAGAACAGAATTTAAACCTTTGTAATTCACGTGTCTTCTGATTCTTTGCACACTTTGTTACTTTATTACTCAAGTCTCTTGCCCTGAGACTCTTGCCCCCTCCCAGGTTTAAAAGGTGCAGCTGTTAAGAGGTGGCTGAACAGTACCTAAATTGTAATTTGGACAGCTAGGCTTATGCTAAGGTGGAAAAAAACCCACAAAAACCCAAAACCAACCCAAAACTGGCAAGCTGCCCTTGTTCAACATACAGCTAAAGACTGAAGTCAGAAAAACTATTTCTTCTATTGTCATCTTCAGCTCTCAAGGGGAGCAGCAAGGGCCTCCTGGGGCCCTTCACAGTCATCTTTAGCTGCTTTGTATGTATATTCTGAACGGACATGGCCTTACCGTCTCTGCAAGTACCTGAATTCAAGGCTTAAGCTTTATTTTATAATATGTAAGTAAATACCCTGCAGAATTAATAGTCTGACTAGCCCCTCCAAAGGCAGATGAAAAGGTACCTGACCTGTTGGTACCTCAGAAGTGTAGATACTCACAATTTTAGTTTCCATATGTTAAAAGTACTAAGTTACAACTAGTACCTGTCACCTGAAGTGTGTATGTAAAATTACCAGTGCTACTGGGTGGAGCAGGACAAGTCCGCTGCTGCCAGCCTGACCCTTTCTAAACAGGACTTACTACAGGAAAAGAACCATCTTTTGAAAGTATTGAAAATACTTGACAGGATAATTCAAAAGAACACTGAAAGTACAGGATAAACTAGCATTCTCTTACTCCCTTAACAGTGAAATAAGCTTGAAAAACTGAGAATACTGCAGGCTTTTTGTTGCTAACACTGGATAATCTTACCTGCAGGTGTCCAGTCTTCCTCACTTTGTCTTACAGTAAATTCTGACCTAACTTCCCTGTGCAAGTTAGGTGCATCCATCTGAATCTACTCACAATTATTTTCTTGTAAATGGTATAAATACCAATAGCCATTTTCCTCTTCTGAAATTCTTTCATCCCTACTACAGGTGCTTGGGAAAAAAACAGGCACGATGACTAATCTTTTTGTACTGACAATGTGAGTATGGGGGATATTAATCTAATGTAAATTAAGCTTTTTATGCTAGCAGAGAGGGCTAATGTAGCATGTTGACACTGAAGGGAAAAGGGCAGAATGATTGTCTAGGTTTTATAAATATTGCTATTCTACCATGCTAAAATATTTTTAATTTTAATTGAGCTTGAGGTAAGAAGGCCCTTTGTGTTACTTTTAAATATTCTTTAAATCCAGCAGTATTGCAAATCTTCTGAACTTAACAAAGCGAGGAATAGGCTTGCTTTGATAAGTTCATTTCCCTTAGGGGAAATAGTGGTAATTTTATGTAACTTCTGAATTCAGAGTCTATTAATCAATCACAATTTCTTATCCCATTCTATTACATGGAAGGGAGCTAAATTACCACCCTCTGCTCCATTTGGACTGCCACAGGTCAAATCTGTGCCAGTGGGGTCTGCCCTAAGCCTGTACCCAGATCCCTCTCCATCTCCCCAGGTGGATCTGCAGCAGCAGGCCCAGCTTGCCAGAGCAGCCTAGTCCAGCCCCAGTGCTCAGACCACCCACCTGCACTATTGCACACAAATGCAAGGCGTTCCCAGGTGGCTGTCTGGGATTTCCAGGAATCCTGCACATCAGAACAGCACTCCCCTTGTCCAGCAACTGAGACAACAGAAAGAAGGCTGTCTTTTAGAAGGGCTCTGTGAGGAACTGTGGCTGCCACTCTGCATGTTGTGCCCAAGTACTAAATTGCTAAGACTTGCCCTGACATCAGGATAACTGTCCTACTCTAGGTATTGGTCTAGTTTGAGGCAAGCATCCGCATTAAGTTGACGTAAGCATAACCATGCAACTACTTTAGAAAATATATTCCAAGTGACAACAGACACATAGAACAGTTAAAAAAATATCTGGAAATAAGGCACTTAGTTAATATCTCACTTGACTCGCTACATCTTTAAACGGACATTATGGCTCAGATGTCCTTGCTCAGAGGAATGAACAGTACCGTGCATGGAAGAAATAGCTGCTGCATGCAGAAACCACTATCCATTCATACTCTTAAGGCAGCATTGTGTACAAGGAAGCATAGCAGGACATCACTGTTCTAAATACTTTGTTCTTTTTGAGTGGTATAAATAAAACTTTGGTCCATTACCACCCCTCTACCCCTTAAACGTTTACAGGCTTATTTCACAGAACAGCAGCATTAAGCAAAGTCAATTCTACACAACACACGTACCCTGAGACTAGAGTACAATGAAATACTGACAAAAATCAAGTCTGGAGAAAAAAAAAAAAAGGAAAGGTCTTAGGGACTGCTTAAGTTAACTTGTCTACGCAAATGCCTGTTTCTAGCTTTTTCCAGAGTAACAAATCCAATGTTTCACAATTATTTTTTTTAAATTAATCCAGTAGGGAGTACAACATAGTGGAGTTCAAGTAATATAAAGACACATTTTTCTTAACAGACTGATGTCAAACAGCTGGAAACCCAGGTTTTAACATTACACTTTATAGCAAGAACAAAAATCCCTTCACTCACTGTTAAAACACCAAAACTTTCCAGCCTGGGTATGAAAATGAACATCCAAAATACAAAGAGACACAGCACTGATCAAGTACCCAGTCAAAGACCACTTCTCTGTTGTTAGAGCTAATGGTTACTCGAAGCTTGAAGTTTCCTCCCTCATTGCTGGAAGGGCCTAACTGCACAACTTCCATGTCAAACGTCACAGTCGATCCCGAAGTAACAGCAGGCAGTTGGTTTGTCATCTCTTTTCCATTTACAAATACTGCCCCTGAAACAGTCAAGATACAGATGTTATTTCTCACTTTCTGCACATACTAACATGCAATGGTATGTCTCCCTATCTTTTTGCAGGCAAATAGAAATGGAAAGCAACCCTGCCCCATTCCTTCTTCTCACATTAAACAGGTTGCAGTAACTACTAGCAGGAAAAGAAGATCCATGATCTCACCAAAGATTTTAACTGCATGAGCAGTATGTACATGAAAGGAGTGAAGCTGCTCATGTGTTATCCAGAGAGACAGAAAACCAGGGGCTCTAGGTTTTGGGAAAGTTAAAAAAAAAAAAAAGGAACACATTCTTCAATTACGTGATTCAGACTCACCGTTTGTGCTAATGCACACAGCTTTATCCCTCTGCAAAGAATCATAACCGTTCTGCTGCTCCACACACACTCCTAGGCTGTCTCGTCTGTCTGGCTGTCCCACAGTTTCAATTCTACCAAGCAAAAAGTTAAGTCAAACCCAAAGCTTTAAATCAAAACATACACTGAAATCCAGACAGTAATACCCTGTCATACCCAGACCTCTGCATTGTGCTCTGGAGCTTTCAGCAAGTTCATCCAACCTTTTGGGGAGATCCCTGTTGAATGACCACAAGTCCTACCAGCTTTCCCCAGAGCCCCACTGAGCAGTGTTCCAATCTGTACAAAACAGGAATCTGCTTCCTGCAAACCTTCACAGATTTTTAATAACAGTCTCCCCTGCCACAGCTTAGTCTTTTGAAATTTCCAGTTGTCTGAAACAAGCAAAATAAAAAAACCAATCATCTATACCAGATTACTAGTCAACATCATGTATTATGGCAAGATGGCTGTAGTTTCCGCAAGTATTTCATAAGCGTGACTAAAACACGGGGTTTTTGAGCCCTGATATATTCTGCTGTAAGGGGGGTGGGGGTGGTGTGTGAGGGGTTTTTGTTTTGTTTTTTTAATAGATCAGCTTGGTGCAAATGCTTATTAAAAACAATGCCTAGAAGAGCATTACAAGTCTGGCTTCTGCTCAGCTGCATTTAGGATTTTGGTCCTGGGAAAGAATCTCCAAAGAAAAAGAAAACAAGTTGTGCAAATGACCTGGGTTGCAGTTCCCTTTGGGCCCTAGCAGCTGAGCGAGGCAGTTTGTACAGTGAAGGACTCTCTGTATTTGAGTCCTTTCTCTTGTACTGCCATCTCTCAAAGGTACTAAATCATATATTAAAGAGAGCCTGAGTGACTTGGGAAACTCAGATGGTCTTTTCTAGAAAGGAAAACAGTGGTTGTTTCAATTACAGCTTGAGAGAAAAAACCAGCACTGACATGGTTGTTGCCAAACAACAGAAAAACTTCAGCAGAAGCTTTTAAGAACTGGAAATTAAACCGGGCAGTAGGCTGGCACACAATGGGTTAACTCTTTCAAGACAAACAGGGAAAATAAAATGGGAACCATGTTTTACTTTTGCACTCCATAAGGTTTTTCAGTCCCCTGGGAACATCACTAGGATAGCAAAAGCCTTATACTGGAAAGCAAAGCAAAAAAAAAAAAACCAAACCAAACCCAAGCAGCTTTTAATTTTTTAATTTGGAAGTGACCCACAATGTTTTCCCAAAACAACTTTAAATTCATTTTGGTACTCTACTTTAGATTTTAAACTGCCTGAGTTACTGGTGAAGCTTTATGAACAGCTGTTTATCTGTAAACTTTGTGCATAAGGTAACATTAATCCATTCCATCCCTAGTTAAGGGAGCCTTTCTCAAGCTTTGGGTCTCTCACAAGGGGTGATGGTACAGCCAGAGCGCTGACAGGGGCCAGTCTAGGACCAGCAAAACATTTTAGGTTCAGTGCTCTCAGTCATATCCACACTGAATCCAGGCTGAGGCTGAGGTTTTTATCATGGGCTTTCCAGCATCCTGGATTTCCCTACATCGCTGCCCTGACTCCGAGAGCAGGCTGGGCTCTGTGCTAATGCAACATAGGAAAGAGCCAAACCTTCCCTACACCATAAAGGGGAAGCACAACCTGAGCACCCAAGACAACAGCCAACCTGTAACTGCAGTGGCTTTGCTCCTCTCACATACATAGGGAAGAGGATCAGGATCTGGTATAGATCACTCCTCCTTCCTTACAGGATCTTGATTTTTTCAGGAATTACTAACCACCTAAGACATTGCCCATGTACAATGCAGAGCATCACTGCACAATCTCCTAAGCTTCACGTCACTAGGCTGATTTTTCCTATCACATTAACAATTCTCCAGCCTCTATGATCCCTGGGACTTACAATATTTTAAAGCCCACAGACTAGGTGGTATGAACAATGCTCAGTGGAACACTGTTTGAATCCCTTCTCACCACTTCCAATGCTGCAGAGCAAAACCTTGCCTCTGTCACTGCAGCGTGCAGACACTGAACCAGTTCAACCACCAGTTTCCATCTGCCTCAGAGCAGAGAGAAGTAAATCTGTGGGTGATCACATGCACTTCCTTTGTATTAGCTGTCAGGGGAGTTGTGTTGGGTTCCTGACAAAGTCAGCAGAATCTTCATGGGGCGTCTGCTGGCTGATCCCACATCACCAGCCTGGCCAGACTGGCTGTGGCTCCCCACTGCAAGCAAAAACTTCAGAGGCAGCTGCAGAGCAGGTCACTGTGGAGAAACATTCCCTTTCCTAAGGGCAGCTCCCTGAAGGCTGCAAAGAAACAGGATGAGTCTTCACTTAAAGCAGTGATGTTTCCTACAGCTTGTCCAAAGGCCTCACCTCAGAGGATAACTGAATGTTATCTGTAATATTTTTTTTAAACAATGTTTAAAAAGCAGATACAAAGCACTGCGTTTATCACAGCTTCACTTTTCACTGATGAGGTATGCCTGTGTCCTGAATGCACAAGGAGAATACAAAGCTGCTTCACAAACATCTGTAATGTGAACCTTGCTTATTTGGTTTGCTCTGCAAGGCACTTACCCCCTCGTGAATACACTTTTGTTTCAACAGATGGAGAAAGCCAAGTGCCAAGTACTACAATTCCCTGCTCAGGAAAATCTTACACACTTTCAAACAAGAAGCTACTCTTGGACCTTGGAAGAGGAACACAACCAACTTTTGAAGTTGTCTTCAATCTTAAGACTCGTGTCTTTATAGTCTTGTGGGCATATGCTTGAGTGTTCTGCCATCCTGAAACAATCTCCTCTTGGAGAGGAATACACATTACCAAAATCTGAAGCAAAAGATTTTCATGTGCTACCAATAAAGAAAGATAAAAGGCATTGGTCTGAAAGAGAACCAAGGGAAACCTCAAAGTTCTGCCTTTAATTTCACAGTTTTTTCTGAGCCAAGAGATGTTAAATCTAGCAACAGATTTCAAATGAAAGCTTTAGATCTTTTTATCCCAGCTCAGGCAGGGCAACTGAATACATCCTCATACTACAACCATCTGAAGTGAAGATAATTCGTTAGCAGGAAGGGAGAAATGAAACATGATGGAATAAGTTACAAAAATATAATGGAACAGCCCCCTTAAATTGCCTTTGGGGGTTGTCTACTGTACAGCAAATAGTTTTATTTACTAGGGAAAGATGGAATAAAGCTCCAGAGTCTGAGGTCTGTAATTACAACTGACATATCCACAAGGACATTCCTCATACCCCATGAAACAGCACCATCTCAGGAACAGGACTACAGGCAGCAAAGCTGCCAAGGTTTTTAATAATATTCTGTGTCAAATGGAAAGTTTGATTTTCACAAGATCTCCTCTTCTCCACTCAGGATTTTCTAATACCAGTTTCAAGCAGTAGTCTGATCAGCACTAATTATCTCAGATGTTAAAGACATCAGTGCCAGACTGTCACCCTTACCCGTCCCAACAGCACATACAATGTTTTTATGTCCAAAGTCTTCAAAGCATGTGGACAGTCTGGGAAGACAAGCACCCACTGACCCAAGGTGAAAAAGAATCAATGGCAAGTCCCTACTGACTTCTGACCAGCCAGTAACAGCTGCTACAAAACTCAAGGAAGTTCAACATTCCACAGATTTGCTCAGCATGGGCTGTATTTTACTATCCCTCAGGACTTCACTCATCTCTATTTTAGATGGCTGCAGGTCCTACAAAAACATCAGGTGTTTTCCTAAAGAGTCAGGAAGTAAAAGTAAAGCAAAGGAAATTCAGACTTCACAGACACGCTACCCTGACTGGGGCTGAGCTGATGTAAAACTCCAACATGCATCATGACTCAGGTTGACATACAGTGCAGATATAAGACCAGAGAAGGAAGCTTGGCTCACAGGAGATGCACCAGACAACAGCTACCCAGAAAGTACTTGCCTGAATGTTAATGTTTGCCCACAGAAATAAGTAGGAGCTTTGGAGTAGAGCACACCGCACGACTGAGAATCATTTCGAAGTGCTATGTTTCTTCGACTGCTCAAGCTGTAACCCTCCAAACCAGCTGTCCATTCTTCAAACAAACAAACAAACAACCAGATGAAAAGTGAGAACCTTAACTCAACTAGCTACTGTCTGTGCAAAATCAAGTCAGCCCCAATGTGCCCTCAGTTTACCTCATATAAAGCTTAAGCTAAGTTAAGAACAGGGGCAGGTTTTGCTGCCTTCTGATGGAAAAATTCCTTTTTCAAATAATTTGCAATTACAAAAAGTATTTCCCAGCTCACATTGCTCACCAGAAGTTCACTCTTTGCCATGTGAAGTCATATTGTAGGCGAAGGAAAACCTTCATTGCTCACTGCCCTTAAAAATTTGCAAGTGAAGAGAAAATTTAGGTTTATCTCTCTCTGAGATAAACTTGTTATCAGGTCATACAAAAATACTTAGATAGGGGTGAGGGGTAAGTTAAAAAACCCTTCACTTCTGTCTCACTGATGCTTTCCAAGGCTAAGCAGTGAGGTGCCTGCTGGAAAGGCTCACTCATTATCCCTCACACTAGAAAGCAAAGAACAAACTGTAGGATGAAAGGAGAGTTCATCATACATTACAGACATAGGTGATAGTTAAGGACACCCCAGCATCATACAAAAAGCAGCTCTAAGTTACTCAGCTATAGACCTTCAGGAGTGCTGCACTGATGACACAGGCTTAAGATGAAGAAGAACAGCAACAAAACAGTACCATGGGGAACTAGTGTGGTATGGCCGATCTGAGGAACACTCCACGGACTCCACTCCTGCCGTCCATCTCCTCGGGCACAGACTCTGAACTGGTAATCAACGTTAGGATCGATATGCAGCACTATGAACTCTGTCTCCGAGCCGACATACACATCTTCAAAGTGACTGGCAGTACTCTTACGATACTGCAGTCGGTAATCTTGTGGTATGAAATCATCATCCACCTAGAAAAATATTTATTGCATTAATAAAGGTCCCCCTCTTGTTTGTCTTTGGCCTCTGAAATATTAGGGGAGTACTGCAGGCTGTCAGAGGCAATTCAGAGTGACAAGGTATTAAAGAGCAGAACGCATAACTTACAGAAAATAAAATCAGTGCCTGAACTAATACAAAAAGTACAAGAATTATTCAATTACAGTTTAAAAGTATCTACAGGAGAAGAAACATTTAACAGAAGGCTTTTCAATCTAAGAGATGTAACAAGATCCTTCAGCCAAAAGCAAATTTGCAGAAGAAATTCAGTGCCAGTTTTTAACAGCAAGAGAAACTCAGTTATCCTTTATAAACACCTCCAGGGAATTATTTCCAACTCCTTGATATCTCCAAGTCAAAAGAGATTTTTATTATTCCCCACCCAAAAGCTCCAGTTTCCCCCAAGCATGACCAAATTCAAGGAACTCCTGTATAGCACAGAAAATCAGACCACGTGTGACAATAGTGCCTGTGATTTTATAATCTGAGCCCTCATCCTTTGCAAGGTAAGGGTGGCTGGCTGATGGCTGGCTGTGGCTAGAACAATGTAAGATTGCTTAATGCTGCCAAGGAGTGTCGAGCTGTCCAACAACAACTAAACCACATCAGAGCACAGCAGAGATTTACTTAAAAATAGTTTTTCTGCACTGAAGAGAAAGGCTACTTGCCTAGCTAATCCCAGTATTCAAATATTTTCTCTTTCTACCCACTGCATCTCCCTAAGAACACAAACATGTTTAGGTGCAAAAGCGTAACAGAACAGGTTCAGCCTCATCCTGGATCTGCCAAAGAGTCCTCAAAGGGAACAAAAGCACCACCCCAGCACCGAAGTCCAGTCTCACTGAGAGTGTGAATCACCTGTCAGAAACACACACACACACACACACCAGGATTTCTTGGACTTGTCTGTACAACAGAATCACAGATTACACTTCAATATTTATTTGTTTAGTGGAAAGAGTACACAAAGGAGTTGTTCCCTGCTTATCCTGTACCTGGCGCTTGGTTAAGCGTGGGAAGCAGGGGCAGCAGCGTTTTGAGCTGCCCCTCCCGACTTCCCCACACACTGGAAGGAGGTTGTGAGGCAGCAGTGCTTTAGCGTGTTGGTCCTTTCCACCTGCAGATGGGAGGAGGTCGAGCCCAACAGCAAGAGTCCAAGACACAAGTGTCACTGCCAGGCAGGCACAAACCCCAGTGCCAACCACAACAACATCACTAACTACCTTGCCTTTGTATGAGGCCGTTATCATAAATATCTCTTCTAAAGCTTCTAACTACACACTGGAGTTGACTATTCCTTCGAAGGCAGTAGGGAATCCAGAATGAAGTAGCTTTTTCAATTTCTTTCAACAAAACTGAAATACGATTGATTTTCACCCAGGATATTTTACCTACCTTACACCATCGGACTAAAATACCTCCAGGCTTCTCAACAAATTCCTCTAGCTGTACAGGTGGGCGAGATGCCACAGTTCCATGTCTGAATATTTGATTTTTCAATATAGTAAGGAGGCAATCATCCAGCTGGGCAGATAAACAAGGCACGTCAACCAAGGAGGGTATTTCTGGTAAACTGAGAAAGGAAAGTTTGCTGTAATGAAAGGGACCAGCTTCTACAAATTCATATTTTGTCCATACACTTGAATCTGTGCAGATTTGCAAAGAGAGAACAGCTGCAGAAATTGGCATGTGCATTTCAAACTTAAAAGACTCAGAAAACATTGTGTTTCAGCCCTAACCAGACTGTTTCTCAGTAAATACTCTGAAATACAGGCTGTTCCACAAGGACTGGTTTCACTGTTCACAAATAAACAGCCTATATTTCTACAGAACATATGGAGGTTGAAAACTACTCCATTCTGTGACTGCCAGCCTCAAGGGAAGTCTATGAAACAAACAGGACAGTAACACCTCAAAAGAATCTTTCAAGGCAATTGGAGCAGAAGGCTTTTGTTTCAAAGGATAAAAGACCCCCTATACAAGAACACGTGCCGTTGCCTCAGATCAGCTCGGTGTGTCAGTATCTTACCTATCTAGCTGAATATGTAAAGCTTTTTTTGTAAAGCTGCAAAGTTTCTCATTGTGTTGTCCCACATCTCCATGGACTGCACTCTCTCCTGGAATCAAATGGTGAAAATATTCCTAATGAGAAAACGTCCAAGAAAGGCATTCTTTGCTTCAAAGAATAACCAGTTCTGACATGAACAACCAATTAAACATGAAGCATTCTCAGCACTTTCGCTAGACTCTTAGCTAGAAAATACAATTATAGTTTACAATATAAAGCCTATCTAGCAACTTTTGAAGCTTTCAAAGCTTCCTGTAGACACACCCATAACAGATGTAATAATTTGCCTCAGGTCTCAGACAGTAGCAGAACTGGAGTCAAGATGCCAAAGATCAGGATTATTAATCCCTTCCTCCACCTGCTTTAAAGGAAGAAACAAGCAGAGCACCTTCACTGAGCAGAAAAAAAAAAGCATGAGCTTAAAAGCAAAAAATAATTTCAATCATTGCCCTGTTTGCTACAATCTAAATCGTAACTATTGTCATAATGAAAGAAATAATCCATGCATTAAAGTGTGGAGATAAATAGAAATCTTTTCATAAGCTTTCCATATAAAGTAGCGTCCCACACTTCAGCTTACAGAGACGTATGCTCCATTCTCCTATCTGATGACTTTATGGTAATTTACAACATAAGCAAGCTCAGTCCTTTTCCAAATGGAGGATTACAAACGTTACAAATCTCTAAAGAAAAAGCATACGTCATAACTGGCAGCAGGAGGTTTAATAACCATGGAGGCTTAACTCCTTTCTGACTCAGATGCAACATCTGCTCATTTTGATGACATGACTTAGCAATGCTTCTACTGCTACAAAGGGAATGGTGACCCATGGGGTAGGAAGTGCACAGCTAGTCAGGTTCTCATGAGATCTGATAGACACTCTATCTCAAGCAGTCTGTGTCACCACCCTCTGATTCGCTAACTTGAAACAAAAAACCCCAAAGCAACTACCAGCTGTCCCAGAGGTTGTGATGCTAGAAAAAAACTACCAACAGATTCTTAAGTATTGTCACTACTCCTGTGAGCAGGAGGCGTAGAGCTGCCAAGCCAGCATGCTCTAAGTGCAGAGCTCATGTCTGAGTGGAAACTGGTAGATCTCCTACCCGTGGGAGCCTGCTCAATGCACTTTAGTTCGCAAAACTGAGATCATGTTGAAAGAAAGTTAAAGTTGAGACACGAGAACAATGCAAGGAAACTGCCAACATACTCACAGCTCAGACATGCTTCCAGTAGGTTCTCCAGTGTGGGGAAAACAGTCAAGAGTGACATTCCTTTCTGGCTAGGTATTCAGCATCAGTAGGGTACAAACTGGCCCTTACAGTAATATTCTACATGCCCATTTTTGTCTGCCTCATCCTCAAGACTTTTGGAGAATTTTTTCCCATATAGTGGTCATTTCATGCCTCATGTCCCCATCAACTGTGAACACAATCACACTTAGCAGGAAAGAATCTGTTTACTTCAGCTGCAATTCCACTAAGACACAAATGACTTTCTTCAACCAAGAGAGACATATTGTTATTACGGTACCCAAAATGTATTTTATCTCAAAGTAGCCTGACAGAATCCTCCTTCTAGCATGGAGGGGTGCAGGACACCTCTGCAGTGAGACATTTCCAACGTAGATACTTCCTGCCCTTACAGAGCATCTACACTGATACATGTACACCCTAGGATTGGAGTGGAATATTTAATATGGATTTGTAGGAGCTAATATTGATTGATTTTTCACGACAACTACCTGACTTTAACCTTTTCTTAACATTTGGTTTGAGAAAAGTCCAAAATGAGCCAAATATGCTGATCATAACAGCCTTTCAGAGAAGGCACACTGGAAAGTAGAGCCAAGACTTAGTATCAGGTCCTGCCTTACCTTCCCGGAGCAGATCATCGGCTGTACTGACTCCGTGCTCTATTAGCTTCTGGCATTCATCCAAGGGTTTGATGCTCTCTTGTTCTATAGCATCCACTTCCTGCAGCAGTGACATCAGTCGCTCATCCAACAGCTTCTTTAGGGTCCCTTTTAAATCATTAAAATGTTGCTCAAGTACATCTCTGGTCAATCTTGCACTTTCTCTGATCTAAATTCAGGTAACAGGAAAGAAGGATTCAGGACAAAAGCAAAGGCCGTGCACATCTTTTATTTTTCTGAACCACCTTATCTGCATCTGCTGGTGAAAAGCTGCGTGTGAAGTCAGCTTTAAAAAAAGGACCATCAGCAGGTAACAAACTGGTGCAGTAATTTTTAGTACACATACAGCAGGGAAGGAGGCAAAGAAACTAGCCTGGGCAAGGGGAAGAGCACATTCACTAAACAAAATACAAATTGGGTTACATGTACTTAAATGTTACATGTACAATATACTTAGATTTTTCTTGTCAGAAAAGTCTGAATGCTCTGTAGGTCTTTCCCCTGCCACCCCTCAGAACTGCTGCAATCCTATTCAAAAAACACTCTGCCATCATATACAGGTAATATTCACTGGAAAGAAAAATATATCAGGCTTTTAAAAGACTACCTAGAAGCACTTTTCCAGGCCTTATCACTTCACTGGATTTTAAAAATCCCCATAACGCTGCTTTCTTTTATTTTTTTTTTTTTCCAAATAGCCACCTTTGATTTGTCTGTTCTCTGGGGTTACAGGGCCAGGTGAACAGCAAGTCTGTTTTGATTCTGGAAGAACTTAGACCACAGAAGGTTCTGCAAGTGCTTATTAAGATGTTTGCAAACTTGCTGAATCTGACTTTTAGGGAAAAAAACCCCACATTTGAACACCCCTGAGCTAAAGATGCAAATGTCAGAAGTAAACATCTCCCTAAGAACAACTTTTCTAAGTCACACACACAAGGAAATGCTGCAACATACACACAGCCTTACACGTAATTTCTAGCTCTTTAGAAGTACAGACAACCGACACAGGAAGTTCTCTGGTTAGGTAAAATAAATTTCCTCTTCAAGCAATATTCATGAAGCTCTGCAGCTGCCCCACAGCTCAGTTTCCCTTCTCTTGTTATTTCAGCGCTTGAGGAAAAAAAGGAAGTATTTAGCTTCGTGAAGGGGCGGGGCGGAGGAAGAGCAAACAGTCACTTCTCTAAGACCATTACCTCCTTTACATGCAGATACAAATTCAACAAGTCAGCCTCAGAATTACAAATACTACTAGCTAAGCAGAAGAGGAAATGCAAGTCCCTGAACATACAGAGCTGCATGAAGCTTGCTGAAAATCGTGTCCCATTGGTCCAAAAGAAAAGGATGCAATGAAAGCGATCTAAAGTGCTTTTCCTATCACATCAGCCCCACCAGTCCCCAGATGATAAAGCTTTTGCTATCTGAACCCCAGTCTAAGACATTCAGCACTTCTGGACACAGGGAATTCTTGGATGTGCGCTGCATGGCTGATTCTTTGCGTACAAAATAGTGTGAGGTCCTGAAAATGGAAAGAGAAAACAGAAACACATACACAAGCAATTTCCCCAGGGAGAAAAAGGAGAGAGGTAAGCTAATAAAGCACTCACAGACACTGCAGAAAGGCAAACTGCCTTCCTCTCAAATGCATCTTGAGTTATCAGGCAACACTCTGAGGTGACAAGATCTGGATTAAAGACAGTCATGAACAATTCATTTTCTTAAGTAGCTTGCGGTTTTGAGGATGACTAATGTATAGTGATGGCCACATTCACTCAGTAGCAGGACACGAACCTAGCAGATTTCTATGCTAATGGAATCGGCTTCCAAAAAACTATCAGGTCACCACAGAAACATTTTCTGAGTTTGGTTTTGGCTGGTTTCATTTATTTATTTATATATTTACCCCTTGCAGAACTGAATCAAAGATATTAAGGCAATGGTTCTGCAAAAACTAAAATGCTTACAGGATCTCTTGGCAGAGAAGCCAGCCCTTCACTGGCTCTCTGCAATCTCCCTGCCCACACTGCCTATCTTATCACGCATCTTCAGCACAGAGTGGGTGGGTTACCAGTCCCAGTGAAAACTCATCCTCTCTATCCCGCGCACAGCTGCAGAAAAACCAGCTAACCTGGAATGTTGGCAACACTTAGATGTGACCCACAGAGTACGTGACCCACGGAGTTCGGTGCATGGGGACAGCAGAGCTCAGGACAGAAACCAATCTGAAGCATAACTCGCTAGGCAGGTGTCTTTTAGATGTGAGGGGAAGAAGACAGGCACGGCACTCCCTATGAATTAAGACCTAACGTCCCAACTACTATAGAAAACATTGTTCCTTTAGACATCCTTATTCTTGCCCAGGAAACCTCCCTGTCATCCCAAAAAACGAGGCTCTGTTCAGTAGCAGACTTCAACGCGCACCCCTTCCTCCCTGACCCTCTCTCCATCCCCGCTCACTCCCCGAGTCCTCCGGCGCCCACAGAGACAAGACGCGGATCTCCCCGAGGCGCGGGCAGCCCCCGGGCTCACCGCAGCCATCGCCCACCGCAGTCTCAGAGTTTCAGAACAGGATTTTTATTTATTTGAAACAGCAGAATTTTATTTCAAGCTAAGATGGCTTTTGCAAGATACAAGGAGATAAAGCTGATGTGCACAAGTCTTAGCGCATCAACATGAGGTTTTTATCCCCTGAAAAAGTACTACTGTTACTAATGTATACTGCAGATACTGCTTTATATTGCTAAGTCATCTAAAGTTTTTAAAAGCTAAGGTTGATGTTGAACTTTTTTGTAGCCATGCAAGAAACGGCGAGAGGAAGATACTTCTGTGAAAACAATCACAAGATATTTTTCACCATTAACAAAACCAGTGGATAAAGTGTTGTCACTGCCAAAACCCAACAATATATTGGATTATTTTAAAAAGACATCAGTAACTGAAAAAGCTGCATTACCAGTTGTAGCTGGAAAAAATAAAACACCGTTGGATGCTGATGACAAAGACTGTAGGTCACCTTTTAAACCACGTTTAAAGCGGAAGAGGAAGGGGAAGAGAGTTAATTTAAATAATAAGCTAAGACAGATGAAAGAATCTATGAATGAACATGAAATAGAAATTAGTAGTGATGACAGCAGAGAAACAACAGGACTGAAACAAGACGGTAATGATTTTATTGCTACTTGTACTTTAGTTGACCAAAAATGTGCAAGAGAATTAGCAAAAGATAATGTTCAAAGAGAGAGCTTCTCAGATTCTGTCATGTACAAAAAAACCACAAAGAAAGGTGGTTGTGAAATAAATGGAACAAAAAATAGGATAAGAAAACCGAGGAAAAGGAAGCGCAAAGTAGATATGGATTTGTCTGAAAGTTTTTCATCTGAAAACCAGCTGAATGAGAAGTGTAAAAAGGAAACTGAAGATAAGAAAACTATGGTATCACCTACAAGAGCTGAGTGTAATGCTACTATTAGTGACTCCAGTTTTGAAGCTCATATGGATGATAAGACATCAGAGGTAAATAATAGTATAATAACAGTGTCATTTGAGGACTTCTTGAAGAGTCAGGAAGAAAATTATATCAGTCTTGTTGAAGAAGATGCAAAGTCAGCAATGGACAATTCTGCTACAGCAAATGAAATGGACAAAAATGATAGTATTGGTGATCCAGAAAAGTGTGAGGAATCTCAACAGCTACCACTTAGAACAGTAACTGTCCTTGCACAAGTTCACTCCATTCCCCCCAAATTAGCTCCATTACATAAGAAGCAAAAGGGCTCTAGGAAAATAGCTTCCATTTTCTTGAAGCAGAAGGAGTGCGTACAGGAAAAAGAAAGTAGCTCATCCTTTTTGGACAGTGAACAAACTGAGCAGGTTACTCAGAAAAGAAAATCTAACGTAGTTATTGAAGAAGAAGAATTGGAGTTAGCTGTACTAGAGACTGCAGGGTCCGATTGTTTGAAGCCAAAATGTACTCTGGAAGAAAGACATCAGTTTATGAAGGCGTTTAAGCAGCCAACATCAGATGTGGTAAAAAGTGGAGTTAAAAAGGCACCTGGAAAACAAAAGCAAACCCTTGGAAAGTCTTCAAAAGAAAAAGGAGAACCCGAAGATGACATTGCTTCAAATAAAGGATTAGAAAGTGGAGTACCAGAAGATCATGTGGACAAATATACACCTTCTAATCCTGAAAACAATAGAACTAAAACCAAAAGACCTAAAAAGTTTCAGAAGAAAGGAAACAGAAGAAGGAAGGCTTCAGAAACTAAAGAAACTAATGTCTCAAATACTAGTAATTATAATGAAGATGAGGATTCAGGAACTAACATTCTTACTAAGGAAAACACCTTAGATGTAAGTATTTCATCGAGTCCAAAAGTGAATAAGTTAAGGAGGAGTTTAAGGCAGAAGAAAATCAAAACACCAAAAGATGTTACACCTAAAAAACCCAGGATTAGAAATACTTTTTCTGAAGATGAATTAAGTGACTGTCCTTTACAGACTTCTACACCAAAAGCAAGCAAGCAATCCTTGAAGAAAAGTAACGTGTATAAAGCAGAGGTGATTACCGTGCCCTTTGAAGGAAACAGCCCAATAAGGTAAAGATTTTAGATCTTTTTCTCTCTTTTTGCATTTTGTTTCCCTGCAGGTATTTTAAGAGTAAGACATAATTATAAATTGATTGGAATGCATACCAAAGCTGCATGAATACTGATTGTGGTGCGTAATAATACAGAGGAATCAAAGCTGATTATAGCCCATTATATGCAAGCACATTATAATGTGTTTGCACTAAAGACATTAGAAAAAACAAACAAAAAAACCCAACCACCAACTGGGGGGTTGCTTCTGTTTGCAGCACTGTATTTTTAAACACTTTTGAAAAGGAGATTGAGAATAACATTTCCCTTTATTAAAAAGTAATAATTTCCTACTACTTTTTTTCCTAATTAGAATGAGGTTTACACGTATCGGTGCAACTACAAAATCAAATAAAACTGAAACAATGAAAAATGAAGAGTTTAACTCCAAAAATATAAAGGTAATTTATGTAATAAGTTTGTGGTTTTGTGCTCTGTCATTTGTTACATGCATATTCAGTATTGTGTAATAGTTTAACGTAATACAATATGACAGTTCTCAGATGCCCTATAGAAAGAGACTATTGCTGTGATTTACGATAGAATTTGAGATAGTATCTACTTTTCATAACGTAACACAAAAATCCAGTAAAATAGCATGCTCACGTTCTGTAGGTTCTCAGGATGGGACATAGTGTTTGGGCACAGCAGAACACCTTATGCTTAAGAATGTCACTGTTCTGTGGACAAATTGGAGGATGCCCTTCTAGGGCTCTCACTCCCTTTTGAAAAGTATTTATATCACATTGGTTTGCTCTTCCTTTTCATCCTTTCATTTTCTTTTTGATACAAATAATTTTTTTATAAAATTATATGCTTTTATGAATGTGAAAAATTATATTAATATGTGAAATACTTATATGTGA